CATGTCCGTTAAAGTTGAAATCTTCCGGACAAAATTATAAAAGTGCCGGTCAAAGGTCTTCTTTGTTATTTATTGAGCTTTAAAACAAATGAATAACGACTCTATATAATAATATAAGAATAATACACAGAGTCTCTCTTTTCCTCCCCCTCTCCTGACAGCCCGTCAGTATTTTCATTATCAGGAAATGATCGTATAGGGCGTAGACACGGAGCCGTTTGGCCCCCCAGAGCGTTGCCTCCGCAGATCTACCCACCTTGGGACCCGTTATCGTTATCGTTATCGTTTCTGCGTTTCCCTGTCGGCCTCGTGTGTCCGAACCGTCTATCTGATAGAGAACTGTAGCGACTACGACCCGTATCGTCTCCGTGTGGCTGCAGCCTAAGAGCCCAGAAATGCGACAAGCATACAAAGGAAGAAATCAAAGGAGTTGCTGGAAATTAATAGCTTCACTGTCCTCCAGACCACATGCTGCTACCCATAAGGCCACTGTTTGTGTCTGTCTTTTTAACTTGATGTCTCCCTGATTGCATCATTGTGTATGCGTGAACTTGCTTATTTTTTGTGTGTAAAGAGTAATGTAATGTAATGTAATAGTTGTACTAATAATTGTACTTCTTGTTGACAAAACCATGTTATCCTTCAAACAGGTTTGCCAGGTTTGAAACTGTTTTGGAAATAAGACCCCATTATCTTGATTCTGCCTGTATTGTGATCGGATATCACATGTCGAAGTGTTGAATTGTCAACAAAAGCAGTGTCATTTTTGACAATTCTTAAGAGACCACAAGGGTCATTGTGGACACAGTCAGGAATGCTGGCAAAGAATCCCTGTCCTCGTCATGCATGTTGTAATGGTCTATTGGTCGTTTCCTGAAGCAATACTGCTTTATTATTATGTAGGAGGCGTGTGGCACAGTGGATAGAGCCTTGGTGTTGGGATCAGGGGTCACAGGTTCAAACCCCACTGCAGTCAGCATGTCGTTGTGTCCCTGTGGAAGACACTTCACCCCAAATTGCTCCTGTGGGGATTGTCCACAGTATTGAGTATGTAAGTTGCTTTGGATAAAAGAGTCTAACAAGTAACATGTAATGTAATATTACATTACATTACATACAATAAAATATTACATTACTTGTTAGACGCTTTTATCCGGATAAGCAGATAAAAGAGTCTAACAAGTAACATGTAATGTAATGTAATATTACATTACATACAATAAAATATTACATTACATGTTACTTGTTAGACTCTTTTATCCAAAGCGACTTACATACTCAATACTGTGGGCAATCCCCACAGGAGCAATTTTGGGGTGAAGTGTCTTGCCCAGGGACACAACGACATGCTGACTGCAGTGGGGTTTGAACCTGTGCTCCCCTGATCCGAACACCAACGCACTAGTCCACTGCGCCACAAGCCTCCCTCCCTGTTATGAGTTAGAATCTAACTATTATAGTCGACAATGAGTGCCGAGTGTTTAATGAGGAGCTAAATATGTTTTCACCGATCTGCTACTGGCCCGGCCCGTCTGTCAAATTTTAAAACTCATAGTGGCCCCCGAGCCAAAAAGTTTGCTCACCCCTGAGTTAGATGATAGACTTATAAGACAATTATCACACTGTGCAGATTGTATTCTTCCAGTTGAGATATGAACAGACTGCAATGTTATTAGGGTTTGATGACAACAAAACTCTACAAAATGTAATTCATTTTTATTTCAATATAAAAGTGTGATGCTCTTAATGTGAGTAATGGGTTTAGCAAACATTTATACATTTCATATAATTGTAATTTGTCAAAAAGAAAATATTTGAATCTATAAAACCAAATAGACTCACACCATAACTTTTTATAGAATGGCATTTATTCAAAAGCAAAACAAAACTACATACATCTATTGTTAATCTATTTTACTAGTATATAAACATGGAGAATGAATGATATCCCTAGTATTTAAAGAATTGTAACTCCAGGTGAAATGTTACTGGTTGTGAGCATTGCAAAGCATTGGTTCATTCTATATACTTGATACATCCAAATAAACATTAAATACAAAAGTAATCTCAAAAGCAAAAGTGCATTTCTTGTGAAATAATACAAAGATGGGTTTAGTGTGTGTGAGCGTAACCTAAAGCCGAGTGGTTTCTGCCTGCCTGAGAGCAATTCTACGTGTGTGTGTGTGTGTGTGTGTGTGTGTGTGTGTGTGTGTGTGTGTGTGTGTGTGTGTGTGTGTGTGTGTGTGTGTGTGTGTGTGTGTGTGTGTGTGTGTGTGTGTGTGTGTGTGTGTGTGTGTGTGTGTGTGTGTGTGTGTGTGTGTGTGTGTGTGTGTGTGTGTGTGTGGGACAACTATTTTGTTTCACTATGCTGGGGAAACATCAGCAGGTTCACAGAGCTCTAGTCCTTTTACAAATCATGCTTTACTCCTTCATACAAACCCCCAAGGGAAATATGCTCTTCACCTCCTGTCTGACAAGTCAAATCCACGCATCCCGCACATATTTTATTATTGATAGGGTTAGCGTACAGAGCATACAGACACACCTGAGAAGGATTACTCACCTGGATAAATACAACATGCCTTGCTCTTTCAGGAACAGTGAGATGGTTCTTTTTGGAGGTATTACAAAAAGGCTGTAATTAATCCATTGTGGAGCATGTGTTTAATTGCATTTATAATCATAGTTATAGTCATACATAAAAAGGTATGCATAACCTTCTGTTATTTTAGGAATAGGCCAAACACAACAAATCCACATGTAAATTCTAAGGTACTCGAATATACTTGATATGAAATCAATGCAAAAGCAACAATTTAGAGCTGGAGCAAATGAATAATAATATTGTAATAATAACCTCTCCCTCAGCACAAACACAATTCCTAAAGTATGGAAGTCAGCGTATGTCCTGCCACTACTAAAAGGAGGGGAGGCAACTGTTTTAAATAACTATAGGCCAATCTCGAAATTGTCAGTTCTGGCTAAGGTTCTTGAACGCCTAGTGAGTGAACAGGTAAAGGAGTTTTTATGTAACAATGACATCCTGTCTAAACATCAGTCAGGTTTCAGAAAGCAACATATCACCATCACTGCCACAATGAAAGTGGTGAATGACATTACAAGTATTTTAGATAAAAAGCAGAGTTGTGCAGCTCTATTTATTGACCTTTCCAAAGCGTTTGATACCGTCGATCATCGCATCTTAAAGCAGAGGCTACTCAGTATTGGCTTATCCAGCCATGCAGTGGGGTGGTTTGTGAACTACCTCTCTGAAAGGTCCCAATGTGTTCACTTTGATGGGCTGTCTTCTGAGTGGTTGAACATTGCTAATGGTGTTCCTCAAGGTTCTGTTTTAGGTCCACTTTTATTCTCCATCTACATCAATAGTTTAGGTGAAAATGTGGATGAAGCTACTTTGCATTTTTATGCGGATGATACCGTGATGTACTGTGCCGGTCCCTCCATTAAGGAGGCGGTTGTTAAATTACAGGCTGTTTTTAACATTATTCAGACTCAGCTCTCTGAACTAAAGCTTCTTTTAAATGTTGAGAAAACCAAGGTAATGCTCTTTTCTAAAGCTAAAAAGACTCCAGAGACTGCTTTGGATATTGTGACTATGCAAGGACAAGTACTCCAAGTGGTTAGCTGTTATAAATACCTTGGTATCTGGCTTGATGATTGTCTTACTTTTAAACTTCAGGTCACTAATCTGCTTAAAAAGCTGAGGGTTAGACTAGGTTTCTTTTTCAGAAACAAGTCCTGTTTCTCTTTTGAGGCCAGGAAAAGGCTAGTCACTGTGACCTTTTTACCTGTGCTAGACTATGGTGATTTGATCTATATGAATGCACCTGCCCATTGCCTGGAAAGGTTAGATGCCGCCTATCACAGTGCTCTGAGATTTGTTACTAACTGTAAAGTACTTACTCATCACTGTACCCTGTATACCCTTCACTTACTGGTCGGAGGCTCAGTCATTGGTACATATTCATATATAAAGCCATGCTGGGTAAACTACCGACTTATATATGCTCTTTGATCTCACGGAGAGTGGCAAGTAGCTATTGCCTGAGATCCCAGGATGTGTTTTTATTACATGTGCCAAGTGCTAGGACTGTTTTAGGTACTAAAGCTTTTATGTGCGCTGCTCCTCTGGCTTGGAACACCATGCAAAAAATATTGAAACTGAGCATTTTGATTCCCTTGCATCATTTTAAAGCACGGCTGGATGAAATGTTATTGGATACCTGTAAATGTAAATAGGTTGCTAATGTATACCCCTGTAATTATGTTGTGATGTCCTTTTGTTTTCTGTTTGTTTTTATATGTGTAACTAAATGTACCGCAGGTCTCCCTTGAAAAAGAGATCGTTGATCTCAATGGGATTTTTTAACCTGGTTAAATAAAGGCTACAAACAAACAAACAAACATTGGAAAGTCACACATGGCAGAATGTGAGCAGATGAAGAGATTTATGGTTCTCCAGAGACAATTACAAAAAAAATCAGTGATTGAGATCGATTTCTGCAATTGGAAGTATACATTTTCTAAATTCGATGTACTTTTGCTGTAACAATGTCAATTTCCCCGCTGTGGGATTAATAAAGGATTTCTGATTTGTATTCAGGTCAGGGTGTTTATCTTAGAAAACAGACATCTACCTCTGATACATGTGGTGCTTTTATGTTTGCACGGAAAGGTGCCATTCCTTTCTTACAAAGAAATAAAAGCCTTAGTTGTGAATCGTAAAGTGGTATATTTTAATTAACATGGCTTTAGTGTTGAATAAAAGTTTAAATACGTTTAAATATAGCCTATTAATTAATCATCCATGTAGTTTTTTGGCTTCGGAAGTCATATTTCCCACAGTACCCAAAAGCAACATGTATGGGCAGTGAGCATCGTGATTTGAATGAACAGACCAATCAACGGCCTCGACGCTGGCTCTCCGTCACTCTTGCCCAATCACAGCGCAGCACCGTTGTTTGCCTTCCCTTTTTGAATTGTGCTCTAACAGCAGGCAGACGCCTTCTCAGGACTAATTATGAAGTAGTTATCTGTTAACAAACTAACGCAGCAACATTTTGACAATTTGGACAATTTGAACGCATAAAGATCATCATGCATTGACACCACACTTGAGATTCAACGGAGAAATGTTTCATATGTTATGATTGTTTTGGACCGAAGAGGACTTATCAATATTTCTTCATTGTAGAGTTGACTCGCTAGCTAGCTAGCTAGGTGGCTAGCTAAGTTAGCTAAAGGGCTTTTTGAATTTGACGGTAGCTAATTTAGCTCCGCTTGCTATATTTTTCTTTTATTCTTTTCCTCTAAGGTACCAGCCACAGGTTGGTAAGTATAGTTGACTTTGTTTATTTATATTGTGCTGTTAGAAATGCATCTATCTTAACTTTAGCTAACGTCTGTTTTAACAACGTTAAGCAAGGGGAATTTGATACCGGGTGTAACAGTCAACGTTAACTGGCCTAGTCTTGATATGAAGTTAGATATATCCTTACAGTTAAGTCCCCTGTTGGCTAAATAATGATTGTGTTTACTATATTCCACAAAGAATGTCTTGAGACACCCAAGAGGGAAAGGTAACTGTTGGCCATTCCTAAACCGACTAACATAATAACGTAATAAGGGTGTTTAGTTTGGATAGAAGTGTTCATTACCTGTGACATGTTTTTCCACAATGCTCTTTGTCATTTATTCGCCAAAATCATAATTTGGGTGTTTTTTTGTCAGCACTGAGTCTTGCACAACTTATCTGCATTCACAAGTGCTTTTCATTAAGTCCAGTATAACCTCTTGTATGGCTGCTGGTATGTAAAACAAACTATAGTTTAACACATAAGTTTAAGTATTAGATTTTTACCACCATGCCAAAGTTATCTTGGTTGCTTTGTTGCCAATCGAATTATAACTTAGGCAGGGTTTGTGTTTGAAGTCATGCAAAGTTATGTTTCTTGACTTGAGTTTGACAGTTGTCACCCTTTTCTTTTCCTCCTGGTTCCTGTACCTTCTTTTTCTCTTCTCTGCCTTGCTGTTTTCTCCCTCTGTTCTTTCCCTGTAACTTTTGATAGTTTGGACAGTTCGGTGCCTCCATAGGATCCTGCCATGGCTGACAGCAGCATACTGACTTTAGGGACAGCTCGGAGTCTGTTGCTGGATTCTTCAGTCTGTGATTCGAGAATCGGCGAAACCACCAAGGACCATGTGTTCCTGGGCATGGCATATGAAGATGGGGAAGGTCAGTTTTCAGGGGTTACCCTTTTTTCCTCCTCTCCCATCATTTCCTCCCTCTTAACACAGTATATCTAAATACCCATACGCATCAAATTTCAGCGTAGAATATATCCTCTTAGTGTGTAATCTCATCCTTTCCCTATATTTGTTCAAGCCTGTTTGTTTTCAACCGAAAACACCATAATCAATACATTAATTGATTCAAAAAATGCATTCAACTTCTCATATCAGACTATAGATTCATAGTAAAAAATACACAGGTAAAATATGCCAGTGGAAAACGGCTTGTGCAATCATTTGTGTCTACTTAATGTTCCAGGACGTGGAGTTTTATATAATATGCAATGCATTCTTGACACAAGTATTATTACGTCTGTTAGCTCTAACTCTTGTTATCCATTAGTCAGACTGGCTGTGCTGACATGTAATACGAAATAAACGTTATTTAGGGTGCGCCAGTGGAGCACGAGCAGCGTTGGCAAATGCTGAACCATAGTGGCAGACAATCAGTGGTGGACTATAACTAAATACGTTTACTCAAGTACACTACATTTAATTCACAGATTTTGATTATTAATACAAAATCTATATGAACTAATATATCATGCATTGTTATATGTTAAGCTACACAGTAGTATAAAAGGTCATTTAAATAAACCCCACTTTTACCAAGAGCAACATTTAAAATGATGAACACATTATTGCATCAAGAATTATAATAAAACAATTGAAAATATATGATGCCATTCTGCTTAACAAGGACTTGTACTTTTGGTACTTCTTCCAACTGAGCAACATGAACAAAGCTTTGACGCAGTCCGTCGTTGTTGTTATGGTCGTGAGGGGTGTTCATGATGGCGTTACTGATAAAAAGCATAGTGTTTGTTCAACTTGGGCACCAACTGCAAACCAAACTAGCACCAGCAGGGAACTAAAACAGAACTAATTTCAGCGGAAAAGGGGTATTGGATGTATTTCTAATTTTGAGTTTACCCTTATTGATATTTCATGGTTTGGAGGAAATGTTAGAGAACCGCCCTTTGGTAAAACACAACACCACTGAACATAAACTATATTCAAAATGTAGAATCAACACCAATCACAAACAGTTCAAAGTAAAATTAAACCTTATAGAATATTAGGACATATATAGGACTTTATATTAATCCTCCTCACAATTTCTTCATTAATGTTATAGGTGTACTGGCTGTGCTGATAAGGAAAAAAGTCCAAGAGACAATCTACCACTTTTCATCCCCCTTATTTGCCCTTGTTCACTATGTCTCTCTTCATTTCTCTCAGACATGCTGCCAAAACTGGAGACGAGGGTTATTCTTGTGGGAGAAGCTGGCAGAAATGGAGCGCTGGTCAAAGCACTGCAGGTACATCATTCCTACATTATTCCTGAAGGTCTGCTATTAGGTTGGCGGCCTTCACAATTTCAGCTTGTCAACATCACTGCTGTTCTTTGTTCGATAAGTAGGACATGGACACTCTTTTTTTTTGTAAAGGACAATCTGGATGCTTTAAATTTCCATAGAGGGAGAACTTTTTTCCATTGTTTGTTACATTTTTTCAGTGATTCCACCCGCGGGTGTCGGGTTGGAGAAATGCATCCTAAGCAGCAAAAAAAGTTATACAAAAATCCTCAATGGATGTTGGTATAGACTTATGAGTTTAATTCCTTGTGCAGCTAGTTGATTATTCCTCTGTTTTTTTTGACAAAGGAATCTTTCAGCATCTGCTTTCAGCCACTGAAATGAAACATAGTGTTATTCTTAAATCTAAAATGTGAAAACCTTTGTTTTGGATTTTTGATCGGACACAATGCAACACTTTATTGCATAACTTCTGGCTTTTTTAAATGTTGAGGATTTTTCTCTTTTTGTTACTATCTTGTAGACCAAACTATTCATTGTAAAAAATATTTTGTAGATTTAATTGATAGTGAAATTCAATCAATTGCAGCCCCAAAACCAACTCGATTAGAACATTTACCTTATTTTGTTGAAAGTAACCATTCTTATTGCCCTTTTAATAATTCTTATGAACAATATAGCCAGTGACTAATGGACTTTTTGTTTCTGAAAGTCGCCTTTTGCTGCCACAAGAAATCCACAATAGGCCCCTAAATATGTAGTTGCACATTACGGATGGCACTTTTCCAGACCCACATGAAGTTTAATGTCTCGGAGAAAGGAAGGATCTTTTCCCAAGTGATACATCTGGGAAATGACTGTGTTATGTTTGGTTTAACACTTTTACCTAGTCATATATATGTTTTTCTTGCTGCTGCATGCTGAGAGGCATCTGAGTGCCTCAGTTAGTAGTTACCCTTTTTTTTCCTTCAATTCTCAATTCTGTACTTGTTTAGCCTACAAAAGGAACATCTTTATTTTTGAGTTTATGTAAGGGAGAAGTACACACACGTTCTTACAGTCTGTCGCTGTGCCTCACGCACACCTGCCTGTCTGTGGAGATAAGGCATGGTAATACAGGAGTCTGGGTGTAATATTTGACAGCCTGCAGAGCCTCTACACCCTACAGTATTAAAGTGTAGCTTTTGCATTCAAATGAGTGACTTGTGATTTCCGTTAACAGCTGCTAGCTGTTTCTGGTTTGTTTACATCCCAGTCATTCTCTGCTCCCTGACTGCCATATCAGCCCAACAAAGATTATAAGCTCGCTACACAGCTCAGTACACAACCCCACCAAGCTAACAGGGCCTTACATCAACTGTCTCTGTGAGAAAAGAGAGAAGGTTATTTCTTCCAGTTTGCTTAAAATCTTTGCAAAGAATCAGACGAATAAGGCAATTCATTGATATGATCATATAAAAAGGCAGGACACTAACACAGAACTTTGAAAATATAAAGTCAGAAGATGACGTTGTCAGGAAAGTATACATGTAAAAATGTCCCATTGGGGAGGGTTTGGTGTTACCACTGCCTCCCTACTAAAAGGACAGTTGAAATCCGCAAAGCCACTAATGGCGCGTTTCCACTACACGGCCTCGCTCGGTATGGCTAGGCCTCGTTAGGACTGGCTCACTTTATGGCGCATTTCCATTACAGTTTAGGAACTGGGGTAGTATCTATAGTAACGCAGTGTAGGCGGAGCCGTGACGTCATCTTCAATGAGAACCCCAGAAAAACAACACAGCCGTTAGCTGTTAGCACTCAGAGCTCACAGCTCCTCATATATGTTCAGAAACTAGACAAAAGTTAAACAAGTACAAACCACAGACTGCCTGTGTCATGGTGTATACAGTCGCTGCTTTATTTATGTCTGTATAGGCCGTTGTTGTGAGTGTGGACGGTCGGAGCATATACTGCGTTAGCTTAGCCAATCTCCATTTAGACAACACGCATTTTAAAAGGTTTTTCGCCTGCCGTCTGTCTGCAGACTTGACAAAGCATTAATTCATGGTTTTTACTAACCGGTATCAGTATGTTGTTACTTCGGCATCATTTTGAAACGTGTATTACAATTAAATCACGGTCAAATATGTCCATCTTGTTGTAGTTGTAGCCCCCTTGCCAGCGATTCTCTCTCTAGTTTAGCATACTCAGCCCGACTCAGCCCGACTCAGCCTCTGGCCCTAGAACCACGATTTTATGAGGCCAGAAAAACGGTGAATTAGGACCCGCCGGCCGGTACTAGGCCAAGTGGAAACGCAACCAAAGATGGGCCGCTGACGTCACAGCCCTCTTAAACCGTGCTCCGCGCTGTAGTGGAAACGCGCCATTAAGAGGCCAAAATTATCAAACTTACAGTTTCCTAAAAATATGTTTTTACACTTAACGGGGAGGGCACTAGTGTGCCGGGGGGAATTCCAACTCGGCAGTTGAGCTTGGTATGTGAAGATCCCTCGTGGGACCTCCTCTTGGTTCTGGCTGGGCCTCCCCGGGTGCATGTCCTCTGTGGCAGTCTGACAGTTCGCTGCGCTTTCCGGATTTTGCTGCTTTCCAGGGCAAAAGTAAAAGTAAAATTTAAAATGAAGAATTTGAGTAAATGAATTTGTTGCTAATATCGCAAAGGCTTCTTCGCTTCTGATGTCCCTTTCTATTCTTGGTATCTAAAATCTCGCAGCAGGTCTGTCTTGAATCTAAGTCCTGTTTGGTAGGCCTGAAGAATCCTGTGATAGAAAAACCTGTGTGTACTGTGATCTAGGGCTGTGCAATTAATCGTATTTGAATCACAATTACGATTTTGGCCTGCCACAATTACGAAAACAACATAATCGGAAAAAACAATTATTTTGCTTTGCTAGGTTGTGACACTACACTGCAACATATTTGATCTAATTAATTTTGGTCTAATTTATTTGTATTTATCATATTTATATATGTTTAGTAGCTTTGGGAAGTGCGCTCCAAAATATTTGTTGATCTTGTTTATTGGTATTTATTATTTTGATATTATTTATTTAAATGTAAATGATACATTTATTTTATTTATTTTTGTATTGGTTTTTCAGTTGAATTATACGTTCAGGGTAATCAACAGTTAAAAAGATACTGTTCAAATTATTATTTGTATTTGTTTTAAAAGTCAATGAATAATCGTATTTAATAATCGTGATATCAATTATAATTACCCAAATAATCGTGATTATGATTTTTGCCATAATCGCACAGCCCTATTTTCCCGTATGGTTTTAAGCAACAAAAACAAATCCTCTATTGAGGATTTGTGTGCATAAACCATATGAGTGTGTATCCCATTAATGATGGAATTGGCATGGCAAAGTCATGACAAAACGGGTATGCTGCCCACACCTATTGGGTTTTAAGACTCTAAAAACACCATCATGATGGAATATGAACAGTTAATGCTGCGCCTTATGAAACCTAAGCATAGTATAGATGCAGTTGAAAGCAAACCTCTTACCTGCTGCGTTATATTCTAGAAATAGTACATTTGTATTGATGATCAACCTCCCAGTGTTGACATGTTTCCTTGAAACAAACCAAAAGTATACCTGGTCAGGCTGTTGAAACATACAGCATACAACATCCTGTCAGAATGGGGACACTTCCCATGGGGAAAGGTACATGTCTATCACTGCGTGTTTGTGTCTGCCCCAGTAAGCCGCCCAGGTTTCTGTCTTTGAGTAGCGCCATGTGAAGGTGATTTGAAGGCGTGGCGGCGACTTAAGTGCTGCGAGAATGACTTCTCCCCAGGTCTCCCGAGGCTGTCACTTCTGAAGGCTCCCAGCTTAAATCATCTATTTCTCCCTGCTGATCAGCCACACGGCCACAACCAAAGACATCCGCCGACAGCTCCATCAGAGCTCTCTCGATTGCCTGCCTGACCGCCCGCCGCCATCACTCATGCAAGCCACGGAAAAACAGAAGCCCCCCTACCATTCCTTTGCGCCTGTCCTCGTTTTTTCCTCCCCTTCCTCCTCGGGGCTTTGAACTTTTATATACATTTTTAAGAGAAATTCCATCTCCTCCCCAGCCCACCCCCTGTGAGGCTTGATACTCGTTTGAAGTCACTGTCTTAGGACTTTGCAAGGACACGGACCCCACCCTATCTCTTCCACACCGCCTCCTTTCTGAATCCTAAAACCTGGCCATCCTAGCTTTTGTCCGCAAGTCCTGGTTAATTTATATGAATTTGTCCGTGGCTTTCTCTTTTTGTCATTCTCTCTCAACCTTCTGTCCTTTCCCTCCTTTCAAATACCAGTATTTGACATCCACTTCCTGCTGGTTGGTTTTCACAGGCCATCAGAGTAATGGAGGTACCGGTGGTAAAGATAAGAGAAGGGGAGGCAGGAGCCGAGGAGAAAACCATGATAAAATCTCTAGTCAATATGGTACAGTACGCTGTCTGCCTCTCCGTGTTACTGTCTGACACTTTGATGGGGACTGGGATGTGCTGCATGACTCTTAATTCACACTGGGTACTCACTCAATCACCGTGCATGTCCAAATCACTGATATGGAATTAATTGGTGGGTGGATATTAAAATATATGTGATGTAATACTTGATAATGGAGATTTGCACTCAAATGTCAAAGAGAGTTCCTAGGCTTAAGAGTAATATTGAAGTCATTTAAGACAATTTCTTCATTGCATTTGAAAATGGGCAGTTTCCATCTGTTAAAAGTTTCAAGAAGACCCATTTGATGCAAATGTAATTAGAAAGGTAATTAACAAGGTAACTAAAGCTTTGGATTTTTGAGTGTCCTCCTCCGTTAAAATGTGAATTATGTGTGAATTAGCTTCCTCTCTGAGACTGAGTTAAGAAGATTGATAACAATCTCTACTTTACATACCTAAAGTCAGGATGTGGTAACAATTTGTTCCTCTGGCCTTCATCAAGTCTGCAGCTACAGTGTGGTTTGCCAGATACATTTCTGTGTATGAACACATAAAACATACAAAATAAGACATGTTCACTAGCTAGCTGTAGAAGCATTCGTAGGTGTATTTTTTAACATTGGACAGCCATCTGTTTTAACTTGATTCAGATTTTAAGCTAAGCGAGGGTAACATTGGTATCAATCTTCTCATATCACTTTTAGAAATGAAGCTATAAGATGTTTGTACCATAATGCTTAACTATTCTCACAGTTCTCTAAAGGTAGGTGGATCGTAACATTGTAATAACCAATGTAATTCTAACTGTGTGCCACTTCACTTTCTTCTGTGTCACCTACTGGATGTCATTTGTCTTTTATGCAGGTTTCCAGGTATTCACTCCGGCACTTGATTCAAACAGTTCTATTCTGTTTCAAATGAGCGCAATCTCTCCTTTTACAGTGCAGCGTTGATTGTTTTTCTGCAGCACTGAGAATGCTTTGTGTACGGCACAGAGAGAATAGTATGTGCATGTTTCTTTATGTGTAGGAGTGAATGACGAAGTAGAGTATTTTCTACACATATTTTTCTTGATAGTTTCAAGATGTCTGTAATGGTATTGACAGATTATCTGACCTTAGTACATTGTCAGGAAGACACATATTTAACAAAATACAAGGAAAATCTTAATAAAAAAAACAGCTTACTGGCTACAGACTTTCTGCTTCTTGTGATGCAACATATAAAATGGCCTGCACTTCAGTAAAGAACTAGGTCGAATTCAACAGTCTTGAAAAGGTTGTGCAATTTAAGTCTTAGTGCTTAATGATAGTTTAATTCCAGCATAATCAGTTAGTTTCCTCTCTAACGTTTACCAATAACAGGAAAAATGCTTATAATATAAACTAATCAATTACAACCAGCCTCACTAACAAGGCTAACCAACCCTTGATTCACTGCTAATTTGCTGAATAATCGCACACTTCTGTATGTTGCATTACCTTTAGTTGTCCATCGTGAACTGTTCCGGTACTAAATCCTGTGATTCTTCCTATTCAGGACATCAACACCCCTTGCATTATGACAGACAGCATCCAGGAGTTTGCAGATGGAGAGAACACTGATTTTGAGACGGTGTTCGTCCTCACAGACTTTGATTCTCCTGACTACAGCTACCTCTACAAACGGGACAACCGCATCGTCGGGCCTCCTGTCGTGCTGCGCTGCGCTGCAAAGGGGGAAGTAAGTAACTGATTCACCACATATTTATTAGAATCTCTGGGGCATGTTTCACAGACATGTATTCTGGAAGAAATGAATTTCAACAGAATATCTCAAAGTGGCATTTCCCCCCAAAAGCTATGCCTCTTAAACCTTTTCAACCTGAAATTAAGAATACACTGAAATGTACTTCAGTGGAGGAACCACCAGATGGAGGCCTTAGATGAAACCTAAAAAGAACAGGATGCAAAAGATACATCATGGTTTGGAACGGGGTGATGAACAGCTGTCTGTCTGACAGAGACTTTACATTGGATTCTGATGCAGAACATGAACAATAGGTCCTGACTGTAGCTCCTATTAAAATGACCGCACCCTCACATTTGTCAGCAGAAGACAAACTATTATGTTGAATTCACTATTTATGTGTTACACTTTGTTTTTTGTTAAAAACTCGGAGTACCAACTCATCGAGGAGAATAGAATGGTGAGGTGATGATGTATTTTTGAAAAGGACCAGGCAGTGATTATAACAAAGGCTCCCTCAGCTAAGAGCTGAGACAATTGGATTGTTCCTTTTGGATTTTGGAATATTGAAGAAAATAATGTCTTTTGCACGCAGAAGTTTTTTATACTTAAACTTGTTGTTCAGCAGGATAATCTCTACATACAACAGGGATGCAAACTTGTCACCTTTCGGCGAAATTTGCCGTTTTGAATCCAAAATAGGTCGTTTGTGTGATTCATGTAGATCTGCAATAAAAATATTTTTGGGGTATGGGGGGGGGGGGTCTGGGACCCGGAGTAATCTGCGGCCGCGAGCTGTTGTGTGCCATCATGACACGCATGGTGTTATTTTTTTATATATTATAATGAAGCGCGAGCTGTGTGCTCGAGTCTTCCTGCCTGTCGGCTCTGCTCATGGATGTATAATAAGGCTCTGCTGCTCCGGGATGAGGGTCTAGCTTCAGCAGCTACATTACCTACGGGTGCGTTCGTTAATATTAACTGTGCGGTCCGGAGTCACTGTGGCACAGACTGGACCGCTGGTGAACAGCTGTTAGAACGGGCCGTTCAGGTGTTCACCTGTCGGAGCGACAGAGCGTAATGTGCACTGAAAAGTCTTTCTGTCGCAATATTATTTAAGGAATCGTTGAGCTAGCTAACTAGCATACATTGTCACTATCTGCTAACGTTTGCTTTAGCCTTCGTTTTCAAATAGTTTTTTTCATAGGCTATAAACAGAGGTGGTATAAGTATATATCTTGTACTCGAGTAAAAGTAGAAGTACTCAGATCTTGTACTTGAGTAAAAGTAGAAGTACTCAGATCTTGTACTTGAGTAAAAGTAGAAGTACTCAGATCTTGTACTTGAGCAAAAGTAGAAGTACCAGAGTGTAGGAATACTCTGTTACAGTGAAAGTCCTTCATTCAAAAATGTTCCTCAAGTAAAAGTAGAAAAGTATTATCATCAAAATCTAGTTAAAGTAGCGACAGTAAAAGTAGTCATTCTGCAGATTGGTCCATTTCAGAATAATATATATGATATGTTTTATAATGATTGATCATGAAAGTGTTCTCAAAGCTGGTAAAGGTGCAGCTAGTTTGAATGACTTTGTATACTGCAGGGTAGCTTGTGAATTTACTCCAGGTGGAATTAAAGTCTGATTTAACACTTGATTAGATTTCACATCATTCATCCACATCTGTAAAGTAACTACAGGTATTAAATACATGTAGTGGAGTAAAAGTACACCATGTACCTCTGAACTGTAGTGGAGTAGAAGAACAAAGTAGCAACACATTGAAATACTTAAATAAAGTACAAGTATCTCAAAATTGTACCCAAGTATAGTACTTGAGTTTATGAACTTAGTTACTTTACACCACTGCTATACAGATAGAAAGACTAACGCAGCCTACACGCGGCGTGCGTTGCCGCTTGGCGGTGGGCGTGTCTTGAGCTTGGGGAGTTAACGCGACCAACAACCAATCACATGAATCTCCCGTGTCTCCCCCGGGTAAAAAGGCTTTAAAAAGGCTCCTGTGTATGAATCTCACCATAGACATTCATGTCTAAAAAGCGATTTTTAATTAATGTCTATGGTGCTATTTTATACAACATTCCATGCTGGCTAAATACTGTTTATGCCTGCTAGCTGTCCATTCAAACGAAGTACACTGGATATAAACTCCCCAAACAGGCGAAAACCTACCAGTTTCACCCACTGTCTCTGCCACCTCCCTCCATGCCTGGCTCCTCCGGTTTGTATCCCGGTAGGTGAACAGGGACTGAAAGCAGCGGGTGATTCCCTACCGCTACGATTATTTTCTCCTCCATTTTTTGGCATATGAGGAAATGAACTGCGGTCTGGCTCTCCCAGCATACACGCCGTTTGATTGGCTAGCGCTTGTACTGGCAGATTTGCATACGCGGGATTTGATTGGCTGACGCCTCCGCCTCAGCTTCAAAAGTAGAACATTGCTCTACTTTTGCAGCGAGCACCGCGAGAAAAGCTACGCTTTGCTCCCACAATGCAGTTCGGCGAATCGTGACGTCACCCCATTCAAAGTGAATGGGCAGAAGCGTTGAAGCGCCAACGCACGCCGCCGTGTGTAGGGGCCGTAAGCCTTGCACAGAGGCATGAAAATCCATTTTCAAAATGCTCAACAGTGCTGCCAAAATTATAAACTGACTGCTACACAATTAAAATAAATGCTTTTATACATTTCTATTAGATGTGACTCTTTGGCGTTTCTGTTATTAACTGCTTTAGTTGTTCTGACTGCTAAAATCCTCTGTTATTCCTCATTTTAAAGCCGATATTCCGTGGGGTCGGGGGGCTCGGATCCTTGTCACCTTTTTCATACCTGATGAGTTTGCATCCCTGATACAAGCATAAAGGCTATCAGAAGAAGTAAATAGCTATGCTATAAAGGGGTTACATCATGGTGACATGACTTCACGTCACCACCACTAAGCTAAAGGCGGCTAAAGCTGTGCATGGTTAGGTTTAGTCACTTGTAAGCAACCTCTGATTTTAAGACACATAACATCTTTACATTCACAGTGGCATATTTTATGTAATAGAATAAAATATATATTTAAAAAAAAAAATGGGTGTTTGTGTTTACCTTATTTAGCTAATTTAACCATAAACACATACACATTACTAAATTGCTAACTCATTACATGGTTGAAGAATCATTCCTGCACCACTCCATAGCTGAAGGACAGACTACCTCAACCTTAAGCTATTGTTTGCACTGCTAGGATAATCAGAACCCATTCAATGTTATTTATCATGATAAACACACACACACTCATTAACTATTCTCTCTCCACTAACCTCACTGTCACTCATTACTGTACTGTGGGCAAAACTGGTTTTCAAGTCGTGGTGTCAGATTAGCAGCTAAATAAAAGCATATTTATGAAACCGCCAGCACACACACTTATCTCCCTCTTTAACTGCACCTGCGTGTGTTAAACACAACCTGCACACTGACGTATAACTTGAGTTAAATAAACATCTTGTAAAAATCACAAAAGATGCCTTTGCCCTGTGGAAACCCTGCACTTAAACAAACGTTGATGCATCAGTTTGTGATTCCTTTTTTTTCTCTGGCAGCCGTTCTGTTTTAAACAGAACCTATAGTGCTATTTGGGGGTTTTATCTTTTTCACCCCTTTTTTATTTTCTGCCCCGCAGCCTCTACAGTTTTCATGTCGTCCTCTCTACTCCGCCACCATGCTGAACCTGTCGCTGTGTTTCACTGGCTTCAGGAACAAGGAGGAAATTGTGAGTATACTCATTTCAAATGATGCAACTCTTTTTGTTGAGGGATGAAAATGGGATACTTTCTTAATGATCATTCTGCGTGGAAAGATCGGTATTGTGTCATATGCAGCAAAATCCCAAAGAAACCACTGAGGCCATGCAGCTGAGTGTCTGGGTGTCAACAAGACATATTGAACCACATGTGGTTGTTTGACCCCCAGCCATTAAGCAGGGTGTGCAGCCTCTTCCCATTTCTAGGTCGTCAAATAAAGCAGCCCTTTGGGGTCTGCGGATGGAAATGAGCTCAAAGCTAAAATCCGGCATATTTACACTTGAAGCATTATTTGTCTTAAGTGTTCATTAATGTGCATTGTCCCTGTTCAAATAAACGATGAAATGAAAATAAATGTATACACAGGCACAATTCACCGTTTAGCTTCTCTATGATACAAAACAGTGGGGAACAGTTTTCCTACATTGCTGTGTTTTTATGTGCTTTACGGTTTCCACTGTCCTTCTCGTCACTACTGTCTGAAATGATTGGTTTGTCAGTTTGAGATATGGAAGAACAGTGACAGGAACAGGAGTGAAACTAAACTCCAAAACAGATATCCTTTTAGAGTTTGTGTCTGCTAACTAGCACAGCGATACATGACTCAGGTCAGGTGGGGGATCCCATGGGGGTGGGAGAGCTAAGATTGATATAAGGTTATTACAGATAAAATGGAATCCTTGTACACAATTAGTTGCTCTTGTTTCATTTGGACATAAAATACAATGCAACTCAATATTCTAAACTAAGCACAAAAAGTACGGAAATTTGTGTTTGGCAGATTATTTCTTTGTTGTAACAATGCTTCTTGGCAATACATCTTATACCGTTGGGGGGGGCTTTTTATTTCCCTTCTTAAATGGTGCCACATTTGTGAGGAACATGCATTTGTGGGATGAGCAGCAGAGCTGAGTATGTGGGTTGCGCCCATGAAACATTTGCCAAATCTTCTCTGCCAATGCCAAACAGCTTTTCTTTGCTGTTGACTCTTGTTTGGTGAATTGGATGATTGAAGTCTGATAAAACAAGACATATTGGCAATTTACCAATTCATTAATTTAACGAACAGCAGCCTCAGTAGCGTGGGGAAGAACCATAGAAGCCACAACAGCCTCTCTTCCTCATGCTGGTCACACACTGCTGTGGGATGGCATCCCACTCTTCAACCAGCATTTGACGCATTCAGCCAGCGTGGTCGTGTTGGTCACTCTGGCCCTGCTAAAGATGAAAAGTTATAGAAAAAGCCACCAGCAAAGCCAAATGTTTGGTGAATATTGTTTCCCTCCTAGTGCTGAGCTCATGTTTGTTTTCTGTCCTGCAGAAGAACTTGGTGAATCTGGTTCATCACATGGGGGGGACCATCCGGAAAGACTTCAGCACCAAGGTTACTCATCTCATCGCCTACTCCACACATGGAGAGAAATACAGGGTGTGTACATTTTTATTTATTTTCTGTAGTCTAACTTTCTTTTAAATCAGTGGGTATCTCACTTCAATCAGGGATGCAAACTTGTCACCTTTCGGCAAAATTCGCCGTTTTGAATCCAAAAGGTTGTTTCTGTGATTCATGTAGATCTGCAATAAAAAGGGGGGGTCTGGGACCCGGAGTAATCTGCGGCCGTGAGCTGTTATGTGCCATCATGACGCGCATTGGTGTTGTTTTTTTATATATTATAATGAAGCGCGAGCTGTGTGCTCGAGTCTTCCTGTCTGTCGGCTGAACTCTGCTGCTCTGGCATGAGGGTCTAACTTCAGCAGCTACATTACCTACGGTGCGTTCGTTAATATTAACTGTGCGGTCCGGAGTCACTGTGGCACAGACTGGACCGCTGGTGAACAGCTGTTAGAACGGGCCGTTCAGGTGTTCAGAGCAGAGCTCCCTGTCGGAGCGACAGAGCGTAATGTGAACTGAAACGTTTTTCTGTCACAATATTATTTAAAGGGGACCTATCATGCAAAATGCACTTTTGTACGTCTTTTATACATGAATATGTGTCCCCGGTGTTCCAGGGAACTCACCAAGTGTCAGAAAACACAACCCTCTCTATTTTCCTCCATACCCAAATCTCTAAAAAAGGGGCTGCAACGGATCTGATCAAAACTGATCCAGATTTGAACACTGTCCTGACGTCAGGACGGAGGCGCTACGGCTATTGGGCCAACTCTCCACCTATCAGGGGAATGTGGGGTTGGGCCACAGTCCGGCCATTGCCGCACGAAAGCGCTGGAGACGCTGTAGTACATATGCCAGGCAGAGTTCCCGTTAGCCGGTAATTACCGGACTATGACCGGTAAAATATGCTGAAGACCGGCAAATCTAAATCTCTCCGGTCAAAATGTCCGGTCAAAAATAATTTTCCCTTAGCGCAATACCGCATCAGTTGCGCCACTTATGTGACAGACAAGAATAGTATGTGACAGACAAAAGAGTATGTGACAGACAAAAATAGTCAATTCTAATGTCTAACACAAGAAAGAGATGTCCTGTATGGGTTGATTGTGCGTTGATCTGTTGGTAATGCCTCGGGGTTCCGGTGGGAATGTAAACAAATGCATAATGCTGCGCTATACTTTGTGGCCTCACCCGGTTGCATAGCGACGCTTATTGTTTAGGTGTCTTTTAATAAGCAGGTAGTCATATCATTAGCTAGAACTAGCTAGATCTGATCGATATGGACATAAATGCGAGTAAAGTCTAATTTGACGGGAGAGAGAGATCGGCTGCTGCTGACGAGTCGACACGCAGCTCTGCATGATCCCCTGCAGCGGCGAGCGGAGCAAAACACACTTCAGGTTAGAACATCACACGTAGCTATTTGAATTACCTCTCAAACTACCTAAACTAGTTATAGATATGTTTAGTTTTACTGTCGGGTCACTCATTACTGGATCCGCGAGCTGCATGATACTGACGGGCTGTCAGGAGAAGGAGAGAGCGCTCCGTTTATTATTCCCGTGTTTTTGTAAATTACTGTACACTTTTGAATGATGTAGTTAATCTACTATAATTAGTTTGTTTAATATCGAATCATATCAATTTGTTTTAAAGCTCAATAAATAACAAAGAAGACCTTTGACCGGCACTTTTCTCATTTTGTCCGGAAGATTTCAACTTTAACGGACATGTTGACCGGCAAAAAAATATTCTAACGGGAACTCTGATGCCAGGCCTGTAAGTGGCGCTGTAGTCTGCCACAAAAGCAGCGAAGAAGACTTCCCGCCCATAGTTACCATGGTTACCCTTCTGTTTATTCTCCGCTGTGGCTTTTTTTCTCCCTCCCCGAGGCAAGCGTTTGCTCCGCTTCGCGTCGGGCCGAACCACGCCCCTTAACTGTGATATAATGGCCATATACCATGGCCTGTCGTGAGCTATTGCTTAATTATATAGGTATGGCCCTACAATATATATCATTTAAATATAGCATGATAGGTCCACTTTAAGGAATCGTTGAGCTAGCTAACTAGCATACATTGTCACTATCTGCTAACGTTAGCTTTAATTTTCGTTTTCTAATAGTTTTTTCATAGATTATAAACAGAGGTGGCATAAGTATAGATCTTGTACTTAAAAGTAGATGTACTCAGGTCTTGTACTTGAATAAAAGTAAAAGTACCAGAGTGTAGGAAAAGAGCCGTTTTTTTTAAGGGGGCGGGGTTAATAGGTTTATCTACGAAATAATCACCATGATAATGATTGACTGTATTGCCAGCAATCTACTTTTTCTCACAGAAAAATGTATAACTTGCTACATCTCCCAGCCAGCCAAACTACTACTCAAGCAGCATGCGTTATGCTATCATCTACGGCAAATGTGCAATCAGGAAAGCAAGTTCCCGTAAAGGCGAGTGGATTTATGGCAGGCAGTGAACCATTGATAAAAAGAACAGCTCTCACCAAGTACGACTCGGTTCCCTGCGTTCGTACCAAAGAGCCGTTCAAAAGAATCGGATCGTTCGCGAACGTAACATCACTAGCAGCTAGTTTGAATGACTTTGTATACTGCAGGGTAGCTTGTGAATTTACTCCAGGTGGAACTAAAGTCTGATTTAAGAGTTTATTATATTTCACATCATTCATCCAAATCTGTAAAGTAACTACAGGTATTAAATACATGTAGTGGAGTAGAAGTACACCATTTACCTCTGAATTGTAGAGGAGAAGAAGAACAAAGTAGCAAAACATTGAAATACTTAAGTAAAGTACAAGTATCTCAAAATTGTACCCAAGTATAGTACTTGTTGAGTTTATGAACTTAGTTACTTTACACCACTGGCTATACAGATAGAAAGACTAAGCCTTGCACAGAGGCATGAAAATACATTTTCAAAATACTCAACAGTGCTGCCAAAATTATAAACTGACTGCTACACAATTCAAATAAATGCTTTTATACATTTCTATTAGATGTGACTCTTTGGCATTTCTGTTATTAACTGCTTTAGTTGTTCTGACTGCTAAAATCCTCTGTTATTCCTCATTTTAAAGCCGATATTCCGAGCTATATCTCTTAGTTTCTGCACCTTATTTTTCTCAGATTTTCTTTGGCTCGGATCCTTGTCTCCTTTTTCATACCTGATGAGTTTGCATCCCTGTCAATACAACTGCACTTGTTCAAGCACAACGAGACAAAATGTAGTAAGAAGTTCCCAGTTTTATCCAATGGAGCCTCAAACTTTGTTTGGTATTACACCTGAATTGAAAGTGGTTTGTCCCCGTCAGATTTGTTTTAGACACACCGATCAGAAGTAATGCAAACAGACTAGGGAAATTGTTGTATTGAGAGTGTGACAGGGGAACTAGGAGAGCTTATACTGATACAATTGTACGTTGATATATTTCATGCCTCTCTTTTCTTTCTGTTATCATCTCCTGGTTGCACATTTACTCGTCTGCGTCTTCACTATGTCTTGTTCCCTCCTCTCTCAGCTGGCAGTGTGCATGGGGACGCCGATTCTCACTCCATCATGGATTCATAAAGCCTGGGAGAGAAGAGAAGACGTGTAAGTGAAGAAAAGGAAGGAAGGCTATCGGAGCTGCTCTCCTTTACAACAATATCTACATAATGCAGGGGAAAGTGTGAATGAGAAAAGTTATTTGGTTAGCTTCTCATTTGTGTATCCTGTGGCAAAGGCATGCCAAAGTGAAACATATCTATTGTTTACTTTATGTTCTCTCTGCCAGCCAGTATTTGAGCACAGGGAAATATTAGATCCCCAGTTTTCTTTTTGTGGTTTATTTTCTCTTCTTTTTTTGTTTAACATATGAAAAAGTCAACTGCTGATGCACAACACTTTGTAAACCATACAAATTAGGTGTGCTGAATGATGAAGCCAAGTCCCACATACATTTGAGGAAAGGGGGTTGAATAATATGAATGATAATTGATTTTTATTAGCACAGCTAACCAGAGTTTCCGTTAGAATTTATTTTTGCCGGTCAAGATGTCCGTTAAAGTTTAAATCTTCCGGACAAAATGAGAAAAGTGCCGGTCAAAGGTCTTCTTTGTTATTTATTGAGCTTTAAAACAAATTGATAACGACTCGATATTTAACAAACTAATTATAGTAGATTAAATATATTATTCAAAAGTGTACAGTAATTTACAATAACGCGGGAATAATAAACGGAGCGCTCTCTCCCTCTCCTGACAGCCCGTCAGTATCATGCAGCTCGCTGATCCAGTAATGAGTGACCCGACAGTAAAACTAAACATATCTATAACTAGTTTAGGTAGTTTGAGAGGTTTTGAATAGCTAAGTGTAATTTTCTAACCTGAAGTGTGTGTTTTGCTCCGTTCACCGCTGCAGGTGATCCGCTAGAGCTGCGTGTCTCCGTCAGCAGCAGCTGATCCTGATCTCTCTCTCCCGTCAGATTAGACTTCACTCGCGTTTATTATTCTTGTCTGTCACAAACTATTCTTGTCTGTTACATAAGTGGCGCAACTGATGCGGTATTGTGCTAAGGGGAAATTATTTTGACCGAAGAGATTTAGATTTGCCGGTCTTCAGCATATTTTACCGGTCAAAGTCCGGTAATTACCGGCTAACGGAAACTCTGCAGCTAACAACCCCTAAACACTTTAATGGCATGTGTTGTGCTGTGTGTATATACTCTTGCTCATGCCCAAAAATCTGACTCTTGGAGGAAAAAGAAGACGATTTTAAGCAGTAGTTGATCGTGGTACTATTAAATAAACTTATATATTAATTAAACCTTACAGTTTAAAGAGCTTCATTATTGGTGTTAAAAATGAATCTTAAATCCAGAAAAAGCAGTGCTCTTGGGAATCTGAGAGGCCTCAACAGTCATTCTGCTGTCTCATCATGTATGTGTATGTAAGCCTTTCAGGAGCTTTAGGGGGTGAACAAATCCTGATGTATTCAACGATGTAGAATCAATTATGTTTAATGTACCTAATCTAAAACAAAATTTCAGAAATGATGACATGTTATTAATTGTAACCTTGTCTTTCTCCCTTCATGTGTTCAGGCTCTTCCATGCAGGAGAAGAGGAGTTTCGAACAGAGTTCAAAGTGCCTCCCTTCCAGGACTGCATCCTCAGTTTCCTGGGTTTCTTAGATGAAGATAAGGCCAACATGGAGGAGAGGACTCTCAAACATGGTCAGTGTCATTAAACCTGTGCAGCAGTGAATATACACATTGTTTCATACAATGCAAACACTTGTATTGTACAATTGTGTTTTGCACATGAACATGTATTTTCATCATCATATCCCTTTTCTCTGTCTCCAAGGTGGCACTTATCTTGAGGTTGGAGACGAGCGCTGTACACACATGGTAGTGGAGGAAAACGCAGTAAAGGAGCTGCCATTTCCTCCCTCCAGTAAACTCTTTGTGGTCAAACAGGAGGTAGGTTTTTTTGTTTTTTGTTTAAGAGTGAAGTTTAACACCTGATACTACTTTAGCACCATTTTGACAAAACAGGGTATTGCCTTGAGTTCTAAATGATCGTTTTAATGTATTTCCCTATTTCAGTAAATAATGTGAGCCATGGTAGCATGGTGGATTGGGTGAGGTTATTTCAAAGGAAGTTGTGGTCCTTATAAAACCAGAGTTTTTTTGTTTTGTTTTCTCCCTTCTGTGTTAGTGGTTCTGGGGAAGCATACAGATGGACGCTCGGGCCGGAGAGTCCATGTACCTCTACGAGAAGGTGAGTGCATTATCGCTAGGGGTTGGGTATATGACTGAAATTTAGATTCACATTCCTTTTTTTGTTGTGTTTTTTGCGCAGTACTTTATCACGGTATTACAAAATAAAAAAAATGATTTACATGATTTTGCCTTATTTCATTCTATGCGGTATGTATGGGAAAATATCTTAAGAAAAATAGAAAGAAATAAAACGTTGTGTTATTGACTCCTAAAAGCAATACAAATAATGTGTATACCTTTTTTGAGAAATACCCTGCCCCATAATGTAGTTATATAGTATATGCATATCTTTTCAGATTTAACAGCCATGCTTTCATTTTGAGGTTGTGAATGAACTCTGTTGCTAAGCAACCGCAATATGAACAAATGTTTTTTTTCACAATGGTTTTTATTTATTTCAAATGTTTAAAAGCTCTAAAGTAAAGGGTGCCACATCATTTGTGATCCGACAAGCCAAACTAATAAGGACATTATTCTATATTAACATCTTTAACCTGTTAAAGAAACAGAAAGCTGTCCTAAAACTTTACGTCTCAATCATAGAATATCTAGAGATTTGGCGTGCTGACCTTTTCCCACCATAATTCATAGTAGGGATGCTCCGATCGATATCGGCCGATACTCACTTTCTGCCGATCGATTGGTGCTCTCTAAAAATGCCGATCGCGAGAGCCGATCGCATGACGTAAAATGATGACACTTTTCTCTGTGCGCGGCAAAACAAGCTCGCCAAAATGGCTTCACCAGTCTGGCAGTATTTTAAGGTGTCCGAAAAAGACAATAAAATAGCGGTATGCAACGTGTGTGTGAAGCAGAAATCCTGCAGCTCCGCCCGCTGTGACGGAGCGGTGAGCGGAGCAAAACACACAAGAGTTAGACCTAACACACTTAGCTATTTTATCTACCTCTGGAACAAGCTAAACTAGTTATACATATATTTATTCTTCACTGTCGGGTCGCTCATTACTGGATCAGTGAGATGCATGAGATACTGACGGGCTGTCAGGAGAGAGAGAGAGGCGGAGAGAGGAAAAGAGAGCGCTTCCGCTCATTTCTCCCGTGTTATTATCCAAGGTTAATGTAAACTTGAATAATGTACTTCATTTGAATGTAATAATTATGTTGGTTGTTGTTTGTGGAAGCTCCAGTGAATGAGCCCCATTAACTGAGTTTTAAACATCACTTTAAATGGAAGATCCCCATAGGCCCCTTCCACTCGATCGGATCGGTGATCGGCCCCAACATTGTCGATCGGAGCATCCCTAATTAATAGAATTCTTGTTAAATCAGACAGCAAACATGATCTGTGGAGAGCTGGCAGTAGCAACGCAGTCTGTGTGGAAACAACACATCACATGTTTTATACTGCCTGTACATAACCGAGACAATGGTACCTGTTTATATGAAACATAGTTTATTGAGAGCTGTGGCAAGTAGATTGTATGTGTGTGTGTGTGTTTGTTTTATCACCGTAACGACAGTAGTGCAAAATCCGGCCACCTCTATTTATGGGTATTGTTACTAAATGAATATTATTTCAAGCCAAATGTATAAACACTCACCTTATGCGAACGGCAAAAGGAGTATCTCTCTTTATCTCAATGTATAAGAATTGGACTACAGCATTACACAACCATGAATCAAGGTTTATACATAAAATTAAAAAAAAGATATATATTCTCTATTTGCCTTCCTCACAGATAACTGTTTAAGAGTTTCTGATTCAGGTTTCATCATCATCTTCAAGAGATTCTCCGTGTATTCATGTTGCTTCTCCTTTTCACTCTCTCTCTCTATTTTGCCGCTGCGATCAGAACGACAGCCCGGCCATGAAGAAGGCCGTGTCTCTGCTGTCCCTCACCACCCCCAACAGCAACCGCAAGCGCCGGCGTCTCAGGGACACGCTGGCTCAGCTCACCAAGGAGACGGAGATCTCTCCCTTCCCCCCCCCACGCAAGAGACCCTCAGCAGAGCACTCCCTGTCCATGGGCTCTCTGCTGGACATCTCCAACACCCCCGACACCTGCAAGGCCTTGGCAGGTAACAGAGAAATGACGGTTGACTATAAAACACCTTCTCCATCCGTCCCTTAATCCCTTTTATTTTTTCAGTGACAGTTACACCATTTCTTGTATGTATTAAAAGCAAAATAACTGAGAATATAGTTTTAAGGAAAGCAGTAACAAGATCGACTAATCTCTATTTCAGAAGACAGAGTAGGGAACAGTTCAGAGAGCAATCCTGTTGCCAGGAATAAGATGAGAAGGAGGAGAACCAGGGAAAGAAGGAGTAGGACAGACAGGGAAGAGAGGAAGAGGAGGTCCTACCTGGGGACTCTTCAACAACAAGAAGAGGAGCAGCAGACAGGAACCTCAGGTCAGGCTTTGCTTCAGGATGACATGTATTGATCGTCAGAAGAGAGTCCAACTCAAAGCTAATATGAAGTACCCCGGCCAGCTGAGAGTAATGGAGTACCAACATGAACAGGGACGTGTGCAGTGTCACCTGACCTTACATTAGGGCTGCAACAAACGACTAATTTGATAATCGAAAAAAGGCACAAAAAGAAAAAGGGTTTCCATTTATTTTATTCAGAAAACTGCATTTCCAAATTGACAACATCAACACACAAAAACAACCCAAATGTAGGCCATATAACAGCTTGTTTTGAACAAAAAAGATGTCTCTTTAGGTTGCTCGAACAAAAACAATGTTCTTTCAAATGATCAACAATGATAACTAACCCAACAGTTTTTTTTTTTTTTTTTAAATGCTTTAATGGACTGAGTGAGTGCTAACAGCTAACGGCTGATGTTGTTTTTCTGTGGTTCTCATTGAAGATGACGTCACGGCTCCGCCTACACTGCGTTACTATAGTTACTGCCCCAGCTACTAAACTGTAGTGGAAACGCAGCATAAAGTGAGCCAGTCCTAACGAGGCCGAGCGAGGCCCTGTAGTGGAAATGCACCATAAGTTAACTATCTAAACACTCAGAGAGTCCTTTACCTCACCTGAGCTGAGGTTATCCCGAGCTTGAATGACACACAGAGACCAATCAAGGGCTTTGATTTATGATCTGTATGACAGTGGCCATGGCAGCAGGCCACATCATGTAGACAGCCAGTCACCCAAAATATCCTCAGGCCAGCAGGCCACTTAACAGACCAGGCCATCGGGAAACCCCCCGGTCCTCCCGATGGCCAGTCCGGGACTGGGTACAGGAGGCGTAGAGCGAGGGATCATTGTCCACAAGTTAATCGATCGCAGATGGCGTTGTGGTCGCGGACGGAAAAAAACAAAAACCTAAATGGGTCGTGAAATATACTTGGGCGGCCGTTAATATACCTGGGCGGCCCGCCCAAGTAAAGTATATGTGTGGGAAACCCTGCAGTTGGACTGTTAAAATGGCTTTGTATAAGCGAGAATCTGCCTCACAATATGTATACAAAGTTTTACAATTCAATGTATGATTAAATAAACAAAACAGAACCTAACTTTTAGAAAAGTCATCGTATAAAAAAACCTAAGCAAACCAAACTTGTATAAATAATAAATGAATTAAAACAATATTGATATTTGCATACACCCCTAATGTTATAAGTGACCCTATGATCATACTCATTACAAGTCCAATGAAAGTCCTGTCATAAAAAAGTGCACGATTCATCAAATCTAAAGTCCACTTGACCTCAATAAATCCCTTAAAGGATTTGAAAGGATGTTGAACCCCCACCCTACTGCATTGCATGTTATTCAGTAGCCAGATGACCACATCCCAGTTTACTGTGCCTTCATACTGTGTGGCCCATTGTGCGAACTACAGACATAACCCTTTTAAATTCTAAATGAAAATTGATTACAATTTGTTATTTAGATTCAGCCCACGTTTCATTCCAATTGCTTAAAAAGAAACATTGGAACATGCAGTGTCTGCCCTTGCATCAGTGCAGTATTAACAACTAGTCTTCCTCCCCCGCTGTCTTTTTCCTCCAGAAAGCTTAAAGCCTTCCAAGAGTTCCACTCCGGTTGTTTCCAAGCAGTCAGCCAGGTGGCAGGTCTCCAAGGAGCTCTACCAGACTGAGAGCAACTATGTGGAGATTTTAAACACCATCCTACAGGTAACTGTGTATGTGTTCACACAATGTGGGCAATTTTAACACTCACTCACAGGTGGGCCAGTCGGTTGCCACTGACAACAGTTTGAGACTAAGCTACCATTATTAAAGGTGTGCGTGTTTGCATGCCCTCACTTGGCCTGTTTTATCAGTTATTCCCAGCAGACAGCTGCCTAGTGAGGGATAAAAAACCCTGCCTGACCATTTCTTTCTCTTCACTACAAATGAAAGTGTTTTTTCTTCATTATCTTTCTTGAACTTCCCTTTCATTTAGCCTTTCTACACTCACTCCCTTTCTGCCTCACACATCTATGGTGCATGTTTTTCCATCTCCCTCTCTTGTCACCTGTCTTGTGTTTTTGTTGTTTTTTGACTAGCTTTAACTGTTCTTTACTCACAAAAGGCCGCCTGATTTTAACTTTATCTTGGGATATACGGTTAAGGTCTTATGGAATTATCTGGCATGAATACAAAAAAGGAACACACCAAATGGTGAGGCAGCAGATAATATAGGCCCATGTTAATAAGACAGCAACCTGCCAATTTAGATTGCATTTTTCATCTGAACACAACAGAAACAAAGGTAGACTGCCAATGTGTGTATGGCCTTAACATTGTACAGTGTATTGAGAGCCAAATCCTGTTTTTTCCTTCATAAATAAAAGTGTATTTATTTAATCCTGGGACATTTATTGTTTTTCACAGAATATGAAAAGTGCATAAAATATTAAAGGTTATACTGTATAGGACCCCAAATGACCCAGAGTAGGGTTATACCAAGCCACCAAATGTCATCGTCTCCCAACTGGCGCATCATGCCTGTAGCACCAATAAAAGAACATTAAAACGAACATGTCATTTTACACTTTAGTTCTGCAATTTCCCATCTTGTCTTAAATACACACTGTCTTCTGTAATGTAAAGTCCTTTTGTTCAGAGCTTATGGCGTGTCCACTTGGACTCATTACTCATACTGACACACATGTCCCAGCCCCAGAGAAATACAACACATCCCTACCCTATGACATCTTGTCATGCCCCTGGCCCGGTCTCTGTTGCTATGCACCAGGCAGACCTGTAAAGACCTCTGCCCTATAGTTTCACTGTCTCAGTGTGACTTTGTTGTAGGAGTGGGTTTGAGCACAATTTTAGGAACTCAGTTACAGTTAAATCCAGCTGCTTATTTTTCAACTGTCAAGAATGCAATGTCAAATGTACATCCTATATTTAAGCAAATGGATGATACTAAGCCACTACACAGTAACCATCCTGTCTTAACATAGTGATAAAACAGCATCTGTTCTTCTATAATTGTGACATCTTGAGGTCCTGTTACAGTCTTATTTCAGTCAGTTATTTGTTCATGGGCTCTTTGTGGCAACTAAAAAAGAGACAATGTGCCTTTTCCCCCTTATTTTTCACACTTACTGAATGAGAGTATTGAAACTGAAGTCAGTTGCTAACCTGTTGTTGACTGACAGAATCAAGACATGCTACATCATGTAAAGATAGAAATATGAAAATACTGCAAGTAGAAAATATGGATGTGTATCTTAACTCTCAGAACATGTGTTATTATTTATGCTTTACTGCAGTTTTAATGTGTCTGCACTTCTCTCATGTCTGTTTTTTATTTGCAGCTTTTCAAGATTCCATTGGAAAAAGAGGAGCAGGTGGGCGGACCCATCCTGGCTCAGGAGGAAATGAAGACGATATTTGGCAGCATCCCAGAAATCCACGATGTTCACACTAGAATAAAGGTAATGTGACTCAACTCATACACATTTCAAACAAAAGATTGTGATGGTTTTAATCTTGAAGAGGCACTGTTGACCTAATTATTTCTCTGTGTTTATTCATAAGGGTGACCTGGAGGATCTGCTGACAGACTGGTCAGATGACAAGAGTGTAGGAGACATCATTCTCAAATATGTGAGTACTAACACAGTTTGCAAATATTGTTCTTTGCATATTTGCATGTTTATACAACAAAGTACATACACATAGTCATTTCTGAAGTTTCACACTCATCTGTAGGAATCTTTATAATAAATGAAGCTCCTTTGTTGAAATAGAATCAGTTTAAATGTGAGGTCACATCATCCATCAAACTAAATATTAACACGCATAAACAAATAAAAAGGAGTTTGAAGCCATTGATTGGTCAGTGTCTACCTGAGGAGACTGCGACATGCTAACTCTGACCTGTGGCATTGGGCTTGCATTGTTTATTCTGTTACTAGTAAAATCCCACTTTTATAGTATTGCTTTTTTGTGATTTTATTTGGGTTTTATTACGTTCTATTTATTTTACTGTGTTTCATTGTGTGTTTAGTTGCTTTTTTTTAGGTCATTTTATTCTCTTTGTGTATTTAAGGGTCTGTTTTTATGTGAAAGCACTTTGTAACTCTGTTTGAACGGTTTTTATACATAAAGTGTTACCTATTAACACTGGGGCCTCTTCTCTTTAACATCTACATGCTACCACTGGCTCAGATAATGAAAAACAACAAAATAAGTTACCATAGCTATGCGGCTGACACAGACATTTACATAACCATTTCACCAGGAGACTATGCTCCAATTCAAACACTGAGTAAGTGCAATGAACAAATCAATGACTGGATGTGTCAGAACTTTCTCCAATTAAACAAAGATAAAACTGAGGTAATGGTTTTTGGAGCCAAGGCAGAACGTATAAAAGTTAGCGCTGAGCTTCAGTCTGCAATGTTCAAAACAACAGATAAAGCCAGAAATCTAGGTGTAGTCATGGACTCTGACCTGAGTTTCAACAGTCACATTAAAACAGTTACTAAATCAGCCTACTATCACCTAAAGAACATATCTAGGATTAAAAGACTAATGTCACAGCAGGATTTGGAAAAACTTGTCCATGCTTTTATCTTCAGTAGACTCGACTACTGTAATGGTGTCTTTACAGGTCTCACTAAAAAATATATTAGAAAGCTGCAGCTGATTCAGAACGCCGCTGCTCGAGTCCTCACTGACACTAAGAAAGTGGATCACATCACTCCTGTTCTGAAGTCTTTACACTGGCTTCCTGTGTGTCAAAGAATAGATTTCAAAATATTGTTGCTGGTTTATAAAGCTTTGAATGGTTTAGGCCCAAAATACATGTCTGACCTACTGCTAAATTATGAACCATCCAGAACTCTCAGGTCTTCAGGGACTGGTCAGCTTTCTGTCCCCAGAGTCAGAACTAAACATGGTAAAGCAGCGTTCAGTTATTATGCTCCAAACATCTGGAACAAACTCCCAGAAACCTGCAGGTCCGCTGCAACTCTTACTACTTTTAAATCCAGGCTGAAGACTTTTCTTTTTGCCGCTGCTTTTAAACTATTCATATCTTAAACTGCACTGTAACTTTTATTATCTTTGCTTTTTAATGCCATTTTCTTAATGTCTTTCATTTTTGTAAAGCGTTTTGAATTGTCTTGAGTCCCCCCAAAGGTATTTAAAGTCATTATTGGGGTTAAAGTCCCCCACGTGTGCCGTTTTGGTTTCAAGACCCTGGTTCGCGGAGGACACCAAAAAAGTCCTAGAAAAGACAACTTAAACTTAACTAATGTGCATTTAAAGAAAAGAGGAACAGTTTTGGCGAAAACTAAAAAGGTACCATGGGGTACAGGAATTAGTTTTGGTTTCAAGACCCTGGTTCACGGAGGATACCAAAAAAGTCCTAGAAAGACAAGGTAAACTTAAAGGTAGGGTAGGTAAGTTTGAGAAACCGGCTCGAGATACACTTTTTGTTATATTCCATGGAATGCTCTTAACATCCCGATAGCAATGAATATCTGAAGTGCTTTGACAAAAAATCCATAAAAAAATGTCATCTGTGGAAGCTGTAGTACTGTAAAAAGCACGACCAATCATTTTAGCCGGCCCAGCGCGTTCGTGTGTGTTGGAGGGGCTCTGTAAGGAAGTGGCAGATTTTTTCCGGCTGTGTATTTTCAAATTCTTGCGCACTCGAGCTGGTTTCTCCAAATTACCTACCCCACCTTTAACTATGTGCATTTAAAAAATAAAAAAGAGGAATAGTTTCGGCGAAAACTAAAAGGTACCATGTGGTCAGATTATAATTTTCCAAAGGGGGGTTCGTTCAGATGTGTGTATCTCGCACTGTAACTGTGATTCATGTATCTTTGCTTTTAAATGAGTGTTTTTAGATATAATTTCATAATATGTTTCTTAAATGCTATTAATGACTTTCGTTTGTGTAAAGCACTTTGAATTGCCTTGTGTTGAAATGTGCTATATAAATAAACTTGTCTTGCCTATTATTCTAATAAATGACCAAAACAGTTGAGACGGGGACATTTTGCCTGTGATCCTGTGTTGAAAATCATCATGGGTTTAATGCTTCTTGCTTTTATTCATCATTTATTTATTTATATGCATTCAAATTTGCAGGATTCCTGCTGTTCTGATTTTGATTTATTTTTTCACGGTTGATTGCTCTTATTGTGAGTGGCTTTGGATAAAAGCCTCAGCTAAAAAATATATATAATGTTATTCAGACGATTCAGGTTTGCTGAGCATAAATGCTTGTTACAGTAATGCACCATTTGTAGCTACTCAAAAAAAAGCAGTCATAGTTAACAGTGATTGTCAGGCAGTCACATGGAGGGAGTATTGTGGTATTGCAAATGATTCCATAGACACTGGTTTGAAACAATCCAAATTGTGATTTATTGTTTTCCCTCCCCCTGTGTGTGAATCTTCTGACCTGTCCTCTTTTTCTGTCTTTCCAGTCTAACGATCTGGTGAAGGCCTACCCTCCCTTTGTCAACTTCTTTGAAATGAGCAAGGGGACGATTGTTCGTTGTGAAAAACAAAAGCCACGCTTCCACGCTTTCCTCAAGGTATGACCTTTGCAGCTACTCCGTGCTTGTTTGCCTGACAGGTTGGTGTCACGTAAAGACAGATCTTGCAGAAGAGACCTGCAAGGGGGTTGAAATGAGAAAAATAGATAGGACGATTGTACCTTTATGTCACTTCTTCACATCAACGCACACACTCTAGCCTTGTCATCATGTCTGAAAATGATTGAGTGTTTAGTTGTCATTTGTCCCAGGTTATGCCATTACTTTAGACATTTTGGCTGTTGTTCTTGGGGGAAATGTCTTTTTGATCCCTATCTCTATATAAAGTACTGCACCATTCTATAGGAAAGTGTAGTGCCTTAACATGTTTCAGTTGGTGTCTTCAATCAAGTTTCTTTAGGAAAGTCATGTCAATGAGAAACCCAGTCTTCACAATCTTTGTAGGATATTGGGGGGAAAAAACGTTCTTCCCAGCGGAATTACTCCCGGGAAACACTGATTTCCTGTGCTAGGTTTGACAATACTTGAGGTGTACAGTAACACGGTCACAGTGTCACTGATATAGCACTCATTTTCAGGCAAAATCAATCCTAGATGACAGGCGTCCTTTAAGTTGTTATGGAGGATAGCTCCTGTAAGCTTGTTTTGTGCCGAACTGTCACAAAACACAATTTCCCCCTCGGATCAATAAAGTATTTTGATTGTTTGATATGATAGGATCACCTTGGATGACTTGAAGGGAGCAAGATGCCTTTATAATAATTAATCAATATCAATATTTTTAGCAGTGAATTGATCTGTGAGTGGTGCAGGAATGAGTTCTAAAACCCAGTAATGAGTAAGCAGTTTTCCACTTCCAGATCACTTGCGCAAAGTTTTTGAAAGTTATTTTGGTTAGATCCATGTAATGGGGTCGGTGATAAACACAAGCTTAAGAGTCCTTCACGTTTTGTTGTACGACCTCTAATACGTCAGTAAATACCACACTGGTGAAGGTCTGAAGCTTCTATGTGTCATCAAAATAGCATTAGCTAACAAGTGATTAAATGAAAATACAAAATGTCATCATGCCAAACATTAGCCGCCTTTAGCTTAGCAGAGGTAATGCACAGCCATGCGACCACAATGTAGTTCAGTTAGCTTTGAACTTCTAGCAGAGGCATTAGCACTTCAGAACTCTTTAAAGTAGTGTTGATATGTGAAGATTATCCTTCTGAATGCTACATGGAAGTATAAAAAACATGTAATTACCAAATATCTTATTTACATGCAATATTCTGAAATGTAATGGAGATTTTGTTGAGGGAGCTTTTCTGATACTTCTGCCTACAAAAATACGTCATCATAACACCACTCCATGCTGATGGTCAGCACATTTTTTTTTCTCAATTAAATGTGTATTTGAGGTTTACACAGACACTTCTTATCACAATAATATATCCTTTTTTTCAGATCAACCAGTGCAAGCCAGAGTGTGGCAGGCAGACCCTGGTGGAGCTGCTCATCAGACCTGTACAGAGACTGCCAAGTGTGGCCCTCCTTCTTAACGGTAACACACACACACACACACACACACACACACACACACACCCACCCCTTTGTCAAATACATTTAGACAAAAATACTTTCTTATAATCACATCCCTCACTTTGTCCGTGTTCTCCATCCATACCTGCCTTCCTCCTCCATTATCTAATGTTGATTCTTGTCTCTACTTCCCCACTGTTCTTTTCGACTCGCCTTGGTCTACGTGATTTCCATCTCTTCCTGTCCGTCTCCTTCTTGCATAACGTTTCCCTTTTTTCTTCCTCCATTGCAGACGTAAAGAAGCACACGCCAGATGACAACCCAGACAAGGAAAAGCTGGATAAAGCAATCGAGTCTCTGAAAGAAGTCATGACGTGAGTTGCCGTGACCTTACCCTTTCTTTTGTGATGATCACAGACAGAAATATCTGAACCCCTCATCTGAACACTGTCCTATCATACTAAAGCTTGTCCATTGTATAGGTTTTACTTCAATAATTGACCATTGTCGAGCCAAGATTTAACAAGAAACAAGTGACTTTAATTAGAATAGGGAGGGATGAAACCCTCTTTAATGGTCACACATGCAGAGCACACAGCACACACAGTGAAATTTGGCCTCTGCTTTTAACCCATCCTAGTACAAGGAGTCTAGTACTAGGAGCAGTGGGCAGCTATTGTACAGCGCCCGGGGAGCAAATGGGAGTGGGGGGGAAGGGGGGTGTCCGGTGCCTTGCTCAAGGGCACCACGGCAGGGCAGGAGGTGAACTGGGACCTCTCCAAGTAGAAGTCCACACTCCATATTTAGGTCTGGTCGGGGACTTGAACCAGCGACCCTACGGCTCCCAGTCCAAGCCCCTACTGACTGAGCCACTGCCGGACTACTGAGCCACTGCCGGACTAAATTGAATTGGTATTGGTATAATTGAAGATGTATTTGACAGGGACAGTTTGTTTGTAGCCTTTATTTAACCAGGTGAATCCCATTGAGATCAACAATCTCTTTTTCAAGGGAGACCTGCAGTACATTGGTTACACATAAAAACAACAGAAAACAAAAAGGACATCACAACATAATTACAGAGGTACAAATTAGCAACCTATTCACAATGACAGGTATGAAATAACATTTCATCCAGGCGTGCTTTAAAATGATGCAAGGGAACCAAAATGCTCAGTTTCAAAAAAAATTGCATAGTGTTCCAAGCTAGAGGAGCAGCACACATAAAAGCTTTAGTACCTAAAACAGTCCTAGCACTTGGCACATGTAATAAAAACACATCCTGGGATCTCAGGCAATAGCTACTTGCCACTCTCTGTGAGATCAGAGAGCATATATAAGTTGGGAGTTTACCCAACATGGCTTTATAGATAAACATGTACCAATGACTGAGCCTCCGTACAGTTACGGAGCGTCCACACAGCATCGTTAAAAAAATCTTCTAACGCTTCTGCCCATTCACTTTGAATGGGGTGACGTCACTTTGCCTCACTTTTCGCCGAACTGCATTGTGGGAAGCAGAGCGGAGGTTTTCAGGATTCAAAGTTGAGCAATGTTCAACTTTTGAAGCTGAGGTGGAAGCGTCAGCCAATCAAATCCCGTTTATGCAAATCTGACAGTTCAAGCGCTAGCCAATCAAACCGCGTGTATGCTGGGAGAGACATACCGCAGGTCATTTCCTCATATTCCAAAAAATGGAGGAGAAATTAGCGGTAGGGAATCACCCGGTGCTTTATGACCAGTCCCTAATTACCTACCGGGATATAAACCGGAGGAGCCAGGCATGGAGGGAGGTGGCAGAGACAGTGGTAGGTTTTCGCCTGTTTGGGGAGTTTATATCCAGTTTACTTCGGGCTTTTTTGCTTTGTATGTCGGGGACGGGAGATTCATGTGATTGGTTGTTGGTCGCGTAGCTCGCAAAAAATCCCCAAGCTTCAGATACGCCCATCTCCAAGATTTTTTTTAACGCTGCTGTGTGGACACTCCGTTAGTGAAGGCAGACCTGCCTTGGCATACAGGGTACAGTGATGAGTAAGTACTTTACAGTTAGTAACAAATCTCAGAGCACTGTGATAGGCGGCATCTAACTTTTCCAGGCAATGGGCAGGTGCATTCATATAGATCAAATCACCATAGTCCAGCACAGGTCAAATGGTCACAGTGACTAGCCTTTTCCTGGCCTCAAAAGAGAAACAGGACTTGTTTCTGAAAAAGAAACCTAGTCTAACCCTCAGCTTTTAAAGCAGATTAATGACCTGAAGTTTAAAAGTAAGACAATCATCAAGCCAGATACCAAGGTATTTATAACAGGTAACCACTTGGAGTACTTGTCCTTGCATAGTAACAATATCCAAAGCAATCTCTTGAGTCTTTTTAGCTTTTGAAAAAAGCATTACCTTGGTTTTCTCGACATTTAAAAGAAGCTTAAGCTCAGCGAGCTGAGTCTGAATAATGTTAAAAACAGCCTGTAATTTAACAACCGCCTCCTTAATCGAGGGATCTGCACAGTACATCACGGTATCATCCGCATACAAATGTAAAGTAGCTTCATCCACATTTTCACCTAAACTATTGATGTAGATGGAGAATAAAAGTGGACCTAAAACAGAACCTTGGGGAACACCATTAGCAATGTTCAACCACTCAGAAGACAGCCCATCAAAGTGAACACATTGGGACCTTTCAGAGAGGTAGTTCACAAACCACCCCACTGCATGGCTGGATAAGCCAATACTGAGTAGCCTCTGCTTTAAGATGCGATGATCGACGGTATCAAACGCTTTGGAAAGGTCAATAAGTTTGCATTAGTATTACGTTTTAATTTTATTGTTTATTATATATATTTGATACATTTTTATATTTTATTGTATTGATTTATTTTTGTCTTATGTGTTCCTTTATTTTTCCGAGAGGGATCAATATTTATAAACATTTTTGTATCCTAGCTTTTACCTCCTTGTTTCTCTTAAACTGTTCAAATGTTATGTTATGTTGCTATGCGGCATGTTTCCAAAAAGGTCTTACCATCTGATCTGAGGTGAATTTCTTGTTCCGTTTTAATTTGTGATTTGTGCCATTTTTTTAAAGCACTTTGAGCTGCACCTACTGTATGAAAAGTGCTGTATAAATAAAGCGTCATTATCATTAGAAAATTATCTAACAGGCTATTTTTGATCTGTAGTCCCTGACCTGATGTTGTCAACGACTAAAACAAATGATGCAAATTGCTGCTTCAGTACTACTTTAAAAATTACAAAATGTTCTTAAATGTTTCCAACCCCCCTCCTTTCCTCCCCACTAGTCACATCAATGAGGACAAGAGGAAGACTGAAGGCCAGAAGCAGATCTTTGATGTGGTCTATGAAGTCGACGGCTGTCCTGTAAGTTAAAGATCCATGTTGTTCCATTTATCTGTGGTGTTGTCGACCAACTGCCTCGAAATAGATCAGCCCCACAATAGTTGGATATGTACGTGTATTACATGCTCAGACTCACTGAAGATTATTTTTAACCCATGTCTGACTAGACTGTTTTGTTGATAATTTAAGATATAGATCATAATTTAGTCTTTTGACTAATAGTAGAGATGTCTAAAGATGTGTACGCCAGAGACGATCAGCAGGACCCGATAGCATGTATTGATGAGTTTGAATAAGTCACACAACCCCTCTGTAGGGATGGAGGCACAGAGCAGTTTCAGGCCCAATTTCAAACCAACCCTTACGCACTCCCACTCAGGCCACATTTACACGAGAACAAAACGGCTTGTATCTGCATAGTTTCTCTTACGTATAGCCCTATTATTTACACGAGGCCGTAACAAACGGACCCCACAAACGATAACGGGTCCCAAGGTGGATTGATTTGCAAACGAAACTCTCTGGGGGGTCAAACGAGTCCGTGTAATCGCCTCTATACGAATATTTCCTGAAAAATTAACGATAGCCCCACCTCTCCCCGCCTCTGCTGCTCACTGCTGTAGCATGGCCAGTAGCTCCTGTCAGTAGCTACTGCTAGTGCTACTGCTACTGACCATGCTACAGATGTTAGTACAACATCTACAGCTCGACCATGCTACAGATGTTAGTGCAAAATCTACAGCTCCTCTACCACAACCATCAGCAACAAGTGGACATGGAGAATTACATGAACTACTACATGTTGCTAAATCCACCGCGGGGCATAAACAGAAGGGTAGCCATGGCAACATTGCTGCGGGGCTGCTCCGGGGTCTTCTTCGCTGCTTTTGGTGTATTTTGTGGCGGAAGTTACAGCGCCACTTACAGTCCCGGCATATGTACTACAGCGTTTCCAGCGGTCTCGTTTGAACAGACACGTTAAATGAAACGAATGCATGTGAACGGAAGACTTTTTTGAAAGCGCATACTGTGCATAAACGCAAACGTTCCCGTGTAAAAGCAGCCTCAGTGACAGAGTGAACTCCTTCTGTAGTCACACTCTCAGCCAAAAGAGCTCCTTCTCTAAGGTGGAGGGTGATAATACAGCAGCAAGCTTCGAGGCGATCCTCTCTCTCTAGCAGTAACTTTACGTAACCACAGTTTAGAATCAGCATCTCTTGGACAAATATTCAGTGTTGTTTAATTTATTTTTTTGTAAATGTTTTTTTACAATTTGAGCTTTAACGGCTGGTTAAGTCCAGACCAATGCAGAGTTTCTGTTGGAGGTTTAATAACTCCCACTCCCCGCTAGTTGGTTTGGAACAACTCTAAATGTGGCCGACCCTCTTGAGTCGTATTTCAGACATTTAATTTACCTTTGACCGGACTAGGGATGGGTATCGTTAAAGTTTTAACGGTACTACTACTTTTGTCGATACCGCTTATCGGTCCGGTCTTTTAACGGTACTTTTATCGGTTCTTTTGGAGAGAAAAATTAGGTAAACTATATGTTGTATGTCAGGGACTACGGATGGAAATTAGCTCAAAGCTAAAATCCGGCATATTTACACTTGAAGCATTATTTGTCTAAAGTGTTCATTAATGTGCATTGTCCCTATTCAAATAAACGATTAAATTAAAAATTAAAATAAACAAATTGTGAACAAAACTAACATTGCTTTTTATTTAAATTAAATAAATAATATTTCACATCAAAAGAAACAACAACGTTTTAACAAATCGTATTAAATAATCTGATGACAGAACTGTAAACAGAATGGCTGAAACTTTAACAAAATAAATAACTCAGTTACCTCTAATCATTAGCCCATGTTTTTATAATTGAGTTAGCTCCGTGTGTTGCTGCTAGCATACATAATATACCTGACGTGGAAACGTTACTCGTGATGGGGCTACAGAGCTACTAGAAAGACAGTCGAACCCGGTGCATTTCTCCGTCTGAACGTGGTGCACTTTTGAGAGATGTTTAGACAAACTGCTCGTGTTACCGCCCTGACATGCTAAACTCTTATTGCACTTTAGGCAACGAGCGAGACGGGTAAAGTTTAACCACACCTCGGAGCGCGTTCTCTCCGCCATCTCCTCCGTGTGTGTGTGTTGCTGCATGTAGCAGCTGCGTGTGTGTAAACTGCCCCACCCCCTCGCACACAGACGGGGGAGAGAGATCTCTCGCCTGGATTGGAGAGATCGAAAATATAAAAAATGACGCATTTTGCAGTCTTTTTGCGTATTAGAAACGGAGTTGGCGACACTAAAACTGCAATATAATGTTTGTGTAGCAATAATACACATGACATATTTTTTACATGTCTCCAGTACCGATAACGTCGGAGCTTAACGGTACCACGGTCTTTAATAATTCAGCCCCGGGGCCCGTTTAATACCGGGGTTCGGTACCCATCTCTAGACCGGACAGACCGGACAGACCGGAGCAGCTGGTAGCTCCACTGTTCTTGGGTCAATGTTTGTTTTGGTTAAGCTATCCTGACTCTCCTCTCTCTGTTCTTCGGGCTGTAACTTACATATTAGGGACTTGGTCTGGTTGGGTAGTAGGTAGACGTTGTGGGCTGCAATCGTAATTATCTTGCATCCTTTTCTGATGTTGTGCAGTGTGTTTCTTTCATCCGGCTAATTTCTTGGCAGATACTTCTTGCCGCATCTGCAACTGTCACCATCCTCACTGCTCCTGTTTTATTTTGCCTTTTCCACCCTAATCTCTCTTTGTTTCAGCCACCTTTTTCCACATTTCCCTCTAACTTTCTTTTTGCTCTCTGCAGGCCAACCTGCTGTCCTCCCACCGCAGCCTGGTTTATCGAGTAGAAACCATCGCCCTGGGAGACCAGCCTTGTGATCGCGGGGAACATGTCACACTCTTCCTCTTCAATGACTGCCTCGAGGTGAGAATGCACACAAACGCCAATAAACGTTTGACAATCTAAGACGGAACACATAATTTACCCGGTTGGTGATGCTATGAATTTACAGACAGCAAACATATTACAGGCATCTGAATTTGACCCAGTGTTTCCTTTTAATATTCCTTACTTGTATATGTACTTGAGCATTATTTTCTAAATATATTCAGTAGGAATGCTCCGATCGATATCGGCCGATATTCACTCTCTGCCGATCGATCAGTGCTCTCTATAAATGCCTATCGGGAGAGCCGATCACATGACGCCAAAATGGCTTCACCAGTCTGGCAGTATTTTAAGGTGTCCGAAAAAGACAATAAAATAGTGGTATGCAATGCGTGTGAAGCAGAAATCCTGCAGCTCCACCCGCTGTGACGGACCGGTGAGCGGAGCAAAACACACACTAATGGCGCATTTCCACTACACGGCCTCGCTCGGTATGGCTAGGCCTCGTTAGGACTGGCTCACTTTATGGCGCATTTCCATTACATTTTAGGAACTGGGGTAGTATCTATAGTAACGCAGTGTAGGCGGAGCCGTGACGTCATCTTCAATGAGAACCCCAGAAAAACAACACAGCCGTTAGCTGTTAGCACTCAGAGCTCACAGCTCCTCATATATGTTCAGAAACTAGACAAAAGTTAAACAAGTACAAACCACAGACTGCCTGTGTCATGGTGAATACAGTCGCTGCTTTATTTATGTCTGTATAGGCCGTTGTTGTGAGTGTGGACGGTCGGAGCATATACTGCGTTAGCTTAGCCAATCTCCATCTAGACAACACGCATTTTAAAAGGTTTTTCGCCTGCCGTCTGTCTGCAGACTTGACAAAGCATTAATTCATGGTTTTTACTAACCGGTATCAGTATGTTGTTACTTCGGCATCATTTTGAAACGTGTATTACAATTAAATCACGGTCAAATATGTTCACCTTGTTGTAGTTGTAGCCCCCTTGCCAGCGATTCTCTCTCTAGTTTAGCATACTCAGCCCGACTCAGCCTGGTTGTTTCTGGCCCTAGACCCGCGATTTTATGGGGCCAGAAAAACTGTGAATTAGGACCCGCCGGCCGGTACTAGGCCAAGTGGAAACGCAACCAAAGACGGGCCGCGGACGTCACAGCTCTCTTAAACGGGGCTCCGCGCTGCAGTGGAAACGCGCCATAAGAGTTAGATCTAACACACTTAGCTAGTTTATCTACCTCTGGAACAAGCTAAACTAGTTATAAATATGTTTATTCTTCACTGTCGGGCACTCATTACTGGATCAGCGAGCTGCATGAGATACTGACAGGCTGTCAGGAGAGGGAGGGAGGGAGGAAGGAAGAGATGGAGAGAGGAAAAGATCATTTCTCCCGTGTTATTATCCAAAGTGAATGTAAACTTGAATAATGTACATCATTTGAATGTAATAATTATGTTGGTTGTTGTTTGTGGAAGCTCCAGTGAATGAGCCCCATTAACTGAGTTTTAAACATCACTTTAAATGGAAGATCCCCATAGCCCCCACCCACTCGATCGGATCGGCGATCGGTATCGTCCGATACTGATTCCGGCGATCGGCCCCAAAATTGGCGATCGGAGCATCCCTAATATTCAGTGAGTGCTGTCTGTCAAAAACCATGCAATCTGACGGGATTGTAAAAAGCAGAGATATGCTAAATCATGTTAACAGATTTTCACCTTTTGCTAGGTTGGACAGAGAGCCTTGCAGTGAAAATGGGGGGTTTTGTTTTTATGGCGCTACATTTAGCTGTTGTCTGATTGGTTGTGGGTTGAAAGGTCAGCGGTAATCGAGGTCAAAGTTGAAATAATGTATAAATCATTTTGAGCGGTGAAGCCAAGAGTAGCGCTTCTGCTTAGTTTTTTCAAACATTTTTGAATGTCAGTTCAGAGCCGTTTTACAGCTCGTCATATGAAGGCAGCTTAAGACCTACCAAAAGATTGAATCAGATAGCACTTATATCTGTTTCTTGGCTTTCGGGATGCAGTTTAGATATGTAGTGTTGAATTTAGAATACAATGGATATCAACTACATCCAATATTTTTAAATGTAACATTTCAATAAGTCTATCTATATAATTTAACTAGTTATGTAATCTGTGATACCTCCACCATCCTCCATCTTCTATTCTTCTGTGTCTCTCTTCGTCTGCACCTTAATTGTTCGGTGCGACTCAGCATGAATCTGAGCATGTCCTTAAACATACGCTGCGATTCATGCACACATGCAGCGATAGGGTACAAAAGCAGCCTTTTGCTGAGCAGTGTTGTGTCAAATTATTATATATATATAAACACAAAGCAATCGTGTTGTGTGTGGTGTGTGTGTGTGTGTGTGTTTTGTGTGTGTGGTGGTTGTGTGGTGTGTGTGTGTGTGTGTGTGTGTGTGTGTGTGTGTGTGTGTGTGTGTGTGTGTGTGTGTGTGTGTGTGTGTGTGTGTGTGTGTGTGTGTGTGTGTGTGTGTGTGTGTGTGTGTGTGTGTGTGTGTGTGTGTGTGTGTGTGTGTGTGGTGTGTGTGTGTGTGTGTGTGTGTGTGTGTGTGTGTGTGTGTGTGTGTGTGTGTGTGTGTGTGGTGTTGTGTGTGTGTGTGTGTGTGTGTGTGTGTGTGTGTGTGTGTGTGTGTGTGTGTGTGTGTGTGTGTGTGTGTGTGTGTGTGTGTGTGTGTGTGTGTGGCTGTGGCTGGCCACCTTCCATGTCGTCTTGTGTGTTTATTGAGTGATCTTATAATGGGTCGACTCACTACTCCCCTCCATCATTACTATGCATTGATTTTATTCATATAACCTCTTCACTTGCACTGCTAAAACAACAATGACCTATGATGTAGTGTCCTATTTTATCTCCCCCCCATCTCTTCCTCCCCCCCATTATTTCGTCTCGCTCAGCTTCTAATTACCTTGGCATTAATGAGTTGCATCGTTTACCTCTATGAAGGCCTCATTGATCGGCCAAGTAGCTGATAGCAGCTTTAGCAACACACTGCAAAAATGCACCCACACTCAATTCTAAGTCGCCGCCGCCCACACACAAACAAACACACACACACACACAAGTTGCCCTTCTTCACTTTTACCTCCAAAGTTGCCGTCTCATTTTGTGGCTGTGTGTGCCTCTCTGCAGATTGCGAGGAAACGAAACAAGGTGATCAATACGTTTAAGAGCCCTATGGGACAGACCAGACCTCCACCCTCGCTCAAACACATCGCACTGATGCCGTTGTCTCAGATTCGGAGAGTGCTGGACCTGCAGGACACAGAGGGTAACACAGCAACAACACACACGTCAAACTAATGGTTACTGCTTATCGCTTCATCTGCATGTCAGCTCTATCTGGACGCTATTGTACACAAGAGTGTCCATATAATACAGCACCAGGTTGAAACAATGACAAACTAATACACGGTTGAATTTATTTTCCAGTCTCATATGCTTTCTGAGGTTTTCTTTTTCCTGTAATGTGTTCTATAGGTTTGTGTGCATGTAAATGGTAAGCAATCTGCAAAGGCAATAATCCCTGTGTTCCCTCCAGAGGGAGTTTCTCTCACACACATTCTCCCAAAATACAAATTTGAGCATATTATGTCCTCTTTAACATGATTAATTTAGCTCTCATTGCCATATTCGAGTCACTGCAAAGTGTTTTTCCTAATTAAAATTAAATTAAATCAATTGACAATTACAGAACAAAATATAATGGCAGAATGGTGAGGAAATGTGTCAGCGATAACGTTATTTACACCAAACCAGTAATGATTTGTCTGAAATTCTAATATGACTATTAAGGTATTTTAAATGTATGTTATAATAAAATGATTGTGTTATACGAATGTGACTGATTATTGGTTTGGTGTTGGTCAATTCACCATGGCCACAAAATTGGAAGTGGCTTATACTTTTTTTATTCCCATGTTACATCTTCACTGCTCACCTATATTTTAGTGTGCCTACACATGCGCTCCGTGAATCCCAATGAAGACTAACAATCTGAGCTTGGTTAACCTGCTGATTGATTTGACTGCACTTTGTCACTTTATTGGGAAAAAAGAGCAGACTTAAGAATGTTTGAAATTGACCAATCAGCAAGTCTTCATCAAAGCCGTGTAAAAAGCCTGGATAAAGAATAATGCAGCTGTCCCAAATATTATAGAAAATTAAAGAACAACCAGCAAGAAAACTGATGAAAAGGAAACAGTGATGTTATGTTTATGAAATGTAATGAAGTGAGTTTGTGTTTCATGATTTCTGTCTGCTTTTATCCCTCACTCTGTCTTTCATTTCTTTATCCCGGTCAAATACCCTGCCTCCATTCTCTTCATCCGTTTTCAATTTCATTCTATTAACTTCTTTCTCCTCACTGGCACAATTTGTTTCCTCCCTTTTTTGTCGCTGGTAAGGTTACCAAGTTGTCTCATTTTTTCCCGCTCTCTCCCCTCCTCCCTTCAGAGTGTGCGAATGCGTTTGCCCTGGTGGTTCGCCCTCCGACCGAACAGGAGAACCTGTTGTTCAGCTTCCAACTGGCTGGAGAGGAAACAGTTAAAGTCGCCTGGCTGCGAACACTTTGCCGCCACGTCGCCAACACCATCTGCAAGACTGATGCGGTGAGAAGCCTAAAACACACACACACACACACACACGCACACGCACACGCACACGCACACGCACACGCACACACACAGAGAGAGTTAAGGACATAGGTAGTTTGACAGACTGCTGTAGTAAAGGAAGCTCTGATAGCTGTGTTATTCCCAACATCAGTTTACAGTAAATACGCTCTTTCCTCTCCAAAAAACATTGGTACAGTTTTAGGCTTTCACACAATCCTTCTTTGGTGGACATTTTTTAAACATCCCCAAACCATTATCCAGACACACAGTTGAAACGTAAGCTGAAAAGATGCGGTCTTGATCAGGATCACATTTATCCATTTGTTCCTGGTGTGAACACATTTTTATGGATGTTATGGACACTCTAAACTTCTTCTGTCGAGCTATTTTTCTTGCCACATTTAAATGGACCTGATCTCCTGCGAAATTAGGGTTAACCCTTCTTAAAAACGTTGATGTTGATAAAATCCCTCCTGCACACCATGCACGTAGCAAACTCTAAGAATGTAATTCACCATTGTCTGTGGTTTAACAATGGCAGTCCTCTTATGTGCCTTTTCTGTGATGTTAGCCTTTACACCAACACCGTAACATTTGGACAGTGTCAGCATGTTGCGCGAGTAAAGTAGTGTCGATGGTTAACCATTTTTCATGAGTTGCTTTTTTAGCTCTTAAATAGTTAATTCAAACCTAATGTGAATAGGATAGAAGTTGTTGCAATATACTGCAGATGACTTGCTTTGCCCGTGGGATCTCTGTTCTATTATAACCTGGAACAGAGAGCAGAGAGTATGCCCAGAGGCCTCATCTCAGCGGGTCATCTCAGCGGGTCATCACCGCCGCTCGCCTCTGCTGGCGCCCGACCTGTTTGAGTGGGTCGTTTTGAAAAGGCCAAAGGCAAAAGATGCTCGCGGAATCTACTTTTTTTGCCGTGTCATCACTGTCTATCGATACAACTAACTTCTTAGGGATTTTAAATGTTTTACTAGAGCAAAAGTCTTTTTACAAGAGCATAACATTTCATATCTGGCCCATAATATTGCTGTCTATTGCAATGATGGTTTTAATTTAAAATGAAGCTTACAGAATCTAGGTATGTAGGTATTGGGTACTTTCTAATGCTCTGTTTATATAAAGGTGGAAAAACAATACAAATAATCTAGTAATCTACTACTGTAGTAAAAGTAGCTGCAATAACACACTCTTAATGGCATTTTAAGTAACATTACTACAAACATTCCACAGTTGATTTTTAAATTCACAAATACGTGGGTGATTGTGTGTGTATTATACATGATGTATTTTCTGGAAACAGCCAAATAAGTAAAAAACATAGTGTTCCAAAGAATACTATAACCTGGCTCCAGGTGAGGCTGTTAATTAATCGAAATGTATCAAAATGGCAATATTCAAAAGGCAGGAATCGCGATATTTGTTTGGGGTCATAAAAATCTATTTTGTGTTTTTGTGCTGTAGCAATATACATTTTAAATCATATTTTAAAGACAGATTAAAACATATGTTTAGTACAGAATATATCCTCTCTCATTTCCTGAGGACTATTGGCAGTTGTTAAAAGACACCTGGACATGTTGAGTGAGGGATTGAACCACCAACCGACTGAATGGTTCATGAACACTCCTGAGACAGAGCCCTGTGTTTTAAAAAAGGTACTGAACAAAAGGTAGCAAAGTAGAATACATGCTTATTTTTTTAAGCTTTACTAGTTATTTTTTATGATTTTTTTAAATAAGAGAAACATAGAATATCTCTTGATTTACCCTGGTTTGGGGAAATAATGGAAGGCCTGATTAGGCCTAATGAGTCCACTGGAAGACATAGAGGGGAGGCTGCCTGCTATATTTAGCAGAGAAGCAGCAGGGGGCGATGTTGGCCTCCGGTCTGCTCCATGTTGCAGCTGCATTCCTAATGCTGTTTCACTGGGTCAGCGCTACAGTGTGAATACCAACGAGATGGAGTCCTGCTTGTTAACAAGCCCACTGCAGGGTGGGGGGTGTGAGAGAAAGACAATGTGTCTGCTTGAATCCTACTACACACCCCCTCCTGCAACTAAATCATAATGTATCTGTTAGCATTGATTGCATGAGTTTTACACTTTTGGGCATTATTTATTGCATTGAGTTTGAAGCTGTGTTTTGTGTGGTTACCAGGAGGACCTGATTCAGAGCACAGACCCTGACAAGCTCCAGGTCAGCACCAAGGATATGGACAGCACCCTGAGCAAAGCCTCCAGGGCCATCAAGAAGACCTCTAAAAAGGTAGAAAAATCACTTTCTCATCATTAACCTTCCCAGCTGCACTTTTTCCAGGGGGAGGTCATGATTACGTATTTATGTTGAGCTGCCAACTCTTTGCAGACCAATACTGCCCCCTTAATATGGATATTGAATCATGGGTTGGTTCACATTCTATCAGTTGAATCAGTGCACTTTTTACATTGTACAGTTAAGTAGAATGCCTTCGCATATATAATAAGGCCATTTACTTGTACAAACAAGTCTTGTTTCACAATTGCCAACTAAAAAACGAACTTTGATAGAAACAGCTGCACAACGCAGAAAGTACTATCTAATTCTGTTAGCAGCTCAACTCTAGTGCTCATGCAGTGTTATTATTGGGCGATGCAATGTAGAGGAAATAACGAATGTGCAGCCATTACTCAAGTTTGTTTCAGACCTACTGTATCTTCTAATGTACAGTATAATAATTGTGATGCTGTCACCCATTTTAAATGAGTGAAAATGTTAAATTAAAACAAAAGTCAAATGATAACACTGTGTAGCATGTAAGTATTCCACTGTGATTTACAGAGGTTGTTTTATGTTTGGCCAAAGCTGATGTTAACTTGACCGGACTTCTTTCTGCAGATTGATATGACTGCACATAGTCCCTTGATCAGAGCGTCCTGATAGTAACAGTCTGATATCCTTAGCAGCGGTTTGCTAGTAGAAAAAAACAGACCGCAGAATGTTCAACAACAGAAATACTAATTCTGATGAAGCCCTTACCAATTTGAGGCAGAGATTACTCTTTGATCTATAACATTTGAAGTTGATTCCTCCCTAAATTTACTTTGCAAGGTCCTTGAGATTTTCATGCTCCGAATTCGCTCTAGGACCCAACATTTCATCATACAGAATGGTACAGTGACAGGATTAAGTGAAGGTAGGAAGTGTTTCTTTACCATAATTTCCCTTATTTTGTCTACCTCAGCAGTTTGTAGTTCCATGTGAAAAGACATGGGTGTTTTCTTTAAACAGAGAACAGGGATGCGTTATGGTACAATCTAGTTTATAACCGGACGCTCATAAAACTCCTTCTACTGCGTGCTGTGGGATTGACTCCTCAGCTGACAGATCTGTCAGCAGCCACACAAGAGAAAATCACTGGCCTCAAGTGCCGACTCTTAGCTGACCCCAGTGTATCCAATCAGGTACAGCCCTGGTTCAGACTGACAGGACTTTCTTGACTGTAGTCCAGTTCATGAGATAAATATAACTAATATCTAAACGTGTTTTAAAATAATGCAACTTAATCACATCAACAAGTTTGGCTGAAAGTTGCTTAATATTAATACCAGCGCTGATGTTTACCATGAATGAAATAACATGTCAGTTAAAAGGCAAAGAAAGCGGAGGAATCGGCACAAGAGACATGTATCACAGACCATTGGACATCACTTTCTTGGTATAAAGGCGAAACTGCACTTGTTATTCAGGTGTGGTGAAAACAGAGAAAAGGCATTTTGTTGAACCATGCGTTTTTTTTTATTAATTTTTGTTAAAGTTGCACAGGAGTGGGCAAGAGCGGAGAGGGTCGCTGAAGGAACAGATAGTGCTTGCAATAGGATAGCAGCAGAGATAATATGCCTTGTCTAGCATGTGTTAGACCAGTGGTTCTCAACTAGTGGGTCGCGACCCACAATTGGGTCGCGGACCCGTTTCGAGTGGGTCGCAGATGTGAGTGAAGAGAAAAAAAAAATTTTTTTTTGCTTTTTTTGTTGTTGAAAAAAGTCAAACTTTTATTTTGAAGGCCCGATTTTCTAACAATGTGCGTGCAGTAGGCGTTGGACTGGAAGTACCGGAAACCATAAACGGTTTTGAAAACTTCTGTCACGTAGTGATCATCTTCTCAATAAAACATCTTTGCTGATGTTTTTTCGAGTCTTCTGGCCAATCAGAATCAAGATTGTTGCCGGAAGTCCCCACGGAGAATAACTTTGCAGTAGAACTATTCTTTATACATCCATGGGTACAACTTCAGATACAAATGAACACGTAATGAAATATGACCCCCGGTTTGATGATTGACAGGTCACAGAACAATGGGGGCTATCTATCCTACCCACAATTTAAAGTAATTCACACAGACTAGTTCAGCTGTCAGAACAAAGTGAAGAACAAACAATGGCATAAAATATTATTAATATGTCAGGTAGTAATAGATTTATTTATTTTCTTCTCAGAGTGTACCAGAATGTGTAGTTTATAAAAATCTCCTGGGGGAGTCTGAGAATCCCCCCAGATCCCCCTTCTGCGGTTGGGTTTTCAGCATGTGGGCCTTTTTATGTTATACAGTTCAGCTTTGATTCCATCATCTCATTAAACCTTTTTTAAAAGCATACTTTCGTTCTGTGAAGGGATATATGTACTGTACTTCACTTTAATTAATATTGTATGCTGAAAAGCGTATATATTACAGCATGATTTTTTTGTTGAATAGATTTGAGTCGTTCAAATTTCGGGTCGCGATTTATTGACAAAGGAAAAAGTGTGTCCCGAGGCCTGACCAGTTGAGAACCACTGTGTTAGACAGGGAAATCACAGCGGCTTTCTGTGTCAGCGGCTTTGTTGTAGCTTTAGCTAACGGACCGTCTACACAGCAGCGTTAAAAAAAATCTTGGAGGTGGGCGTATCTGAAGCTTGAGGATTTTTTGCGAGCAAGGCACGAACAACCAATCACATGAATCTCCCGCCCGCGACATACGAAGCAAAAAAGCCCGAAGTAAACTGGATATAAACTCCCCAAAACAGGCGAAAACCTACCACTGTCTCTGCCACCTCCCTCCATGCCTGGCTCCTCCGGTTTATATCCCGGTAGGTAAATAGGGACTGGTCATAAAGCACCGGGTGATTGATTCGCTACCGCTAATTTCTCCTCCATTTTTTGGAATATGAGGAAATGACCTGCGGTACGTCTCTCCCAGCATACACGCCGTTTGATTGGCTAGAGCTTGAACGGTCAGATTTGCGTACACGGGATTTGATTGGCTGACGCTTCCACCTCAGCCTCAAAAGTTGAACATTGTTCAACTTTGAATCCTGAAAATCTCCGCTCGCCTGCCCACAATGCAGTTCGGCGAAAAGTGAGGGAAAGTGACGTCACCCCATTCAAAGTGAATGGGCAGAAGCGTTTCAAGATTTGTTTTAACGCTGCTGTATAGACGGTCCGTAAGTGTAAGAAAATGGTCGACTTCATGCCAAAAATTCCGGAATCATGTTATAATAAAAGAAAAAGCCTTCTGATTTCTCTTACTAATTTGTCATGCATTTCTTTATTACAATACCACACATGTTTGTTTTATTGTTTTAAAGTAGTATTTAAACTTGAGATTGATCATTACAAATCACAGATTATTATTGTGATTAATGCAATAACATTTGTAATTCAATTGACAGCACTACAAATTACCCTTTTTTTTAAAAAAACTGACTTGAATTACATGAATGAAACTGCACAAATCATCAAGTGCAGACTTTCCTTTGATGAATATCTGAAGTATAAAAGTTACATTTTAAACTGAATGTCAGCAAGAAATCACCTAAGTACCTTGGAATAATGTTCCGAGAACAACAACATAGTATGTTATAGTGTTGCACGGTGTACCGATACTTGAAAAGTACCGCGATACCCTGCCGTTAAAAACGTTACGATTCCTCCGTTTCATTAGTATCGGTACTTTAAGAATGACGGGGAAAAGTACTCCGGTGAGAAAGCGCTGTTTAATAAGAGCCGTGTGTGTTCAGCGCTCTGCTTCCACTCCCTGCACTGCAGCCGTGCCTGCAGTCCCTCCCCTCTCAAGCACGCTCTAAGTGCCTCCCCTCTCTCATGCACGCGCTAGCTGCCAGAGCATGTGAGAAAACGAGAAGCATGGCTGCAAGTGGGAGTGCAACTGCCGCTGCGCCTCGGCTTGTTGACAAAAAAGACGCCAGAAGCTAAATGTGGAAGTATTTGAGCTATATCTCTGACAGTGAGGGCAAGCCTACGGACACCACGAGGCCTGTCTGTAAGACATGTTTTAGATCCCTGCAAACCAAGGGAGCCAACACATCAAACTTGGCTAAGCACCTCGCCGACCGGCATCCAGAGCTGTTTAAAGAATTTAAAGACAGACAGGTTAGCGAATGTGATAGATAACATAATTACATCATGCTCAAGCCCATGCTCTCAAATCTAAGTCAAACAAGTGTCATTTATTTTGTGACAAACAAACGTTTTCGTAGTTTGACGAGGCAATTAATGGCAATGATAACTGTCTAATATGGCTATCTTTTTAGCTAACTTACCAATGTGGCTAACATCTGCAATGTACATTTTGTCAATAATTATTTATATTACTGTACTATTACATGTTAATAAAATATAAAGTTAACTATCAAAGAAATCACATAAACTCAAGTATAAAGAAGAGACCATGTTGTAAGAAAACACGGCCACATATGTAGAGGTCAACAGTTGTCAGCTTTTCAATAATTAGGTCTGCATTTATTCATTATCTACGTGACTACTGCTCAACCCATATAATAATAAAAGCACTACAGATGGCAAGATGTTTTGCCTCTTATAAGAAAAACTTGAACATTTTCAGTACGTTTCACAAAAGCTAATAGCAGAAGGTAAGATAGCAGTAAAACGTGTTTTTAAAAGGCACAGAAACATTACAATGCTAAATTTGTTCTACCTGTCTCATCTTTAAGTATTTTTCCACTGACGCAGTCATTACATGGCGTCAGGTCTTTGATTGCATTCAAATACTTCTGTGATAAAACATAATTACAACAGTTTTTCAAACTCAAATGACAATAATTTAAACTTCACCCCAGAATAAAAAAAACGGACTAAAAATGTAGTTAAGCAGAGAGCACTGTCAAGTAATTTTTTAAGCAAAATGTCAAATTCTACCGGAGATAAAGTTAAATTCTGCTGTGATAAAACACCATCCTGTTCTAAACCACATCAAGTATTATTTCTGAAACAG